GCAGCAGAGCCTGTTTTACTTTCAGTTTCCTTTTAGCTAGGGAAAAAAAAAATCTGCTCCAGCACTCTTTGCAGCAAGCAAAGAGCTTGCAAAACAAGAGCTTGCAAACGAGTCTGCAAAACAGCTGAGAGCGAATCAGCTGAGAGTCGGAGGCCGATCTAATCATGCTAATTAACCTATGCGGCTGTTTTTTTCTTGCTGTTTGCTTGCAAGGAGGTAAGTGCTGCGAGGCACAGGTCAAAGGGGGGGTCACCCTCCTTGCCACTTAGCCCCCCTGTCGCCCCCCGCTTTGCCTCTAGCATTCCTCTGCCGCCCCCCTTGCCCCCCTTGCCGCTTACTGCCCCCCTAAGGCATCCCACCGCCCCCAAGGGGGCGGTACCACCCACTTTGGCAACCACTGGCTTAACTACTTAACAACCGGTTCTACCAAAGTAGAATCCCACCACTGGGTCTACCCATTTATATTTGCAGGCACCGATCTACTCATTTGTTTTCTTTTAACACTGATCAGCTGTAGGGTGGCCCTTTGAAGCCCCGCAGCAGCTGTGAGGCCAATAAAATTATAAAAAAACACTGAACCATTTGTTAAATTGCTGGCTCGCCCACCCCTCACCCAGTGGTGTGGAGGGGCAGGGCAAGGGGCGGGGTGAGCCAGCAATTTAACAAACGGTTCGGCCGAACCGCCTAGAACTGGCAGAATCCCATCACTGGGTGAATGGCACTGACAATAAAGGTGCATGCTCTAAAGGTCATGGTTTCCCTGCTTGTAACATCTAAGACCATCTTGAACCATAGATGAACAAATCATTCAGTACTAGGTAAAGTAAAACTAGACTGCCTACTTGAAGCACAAGTTATGAAAATAATGCTTAAGTGAGCAGATAATGTGAAAACCCCAATGCTTGGGAAATTTGAAGGCAGGTCATACGAAATCTCCAAAACATTGACTAGAGCAGAAAGTAACCAGGAAAACTCTGCAGAAAATAGAGCCTTTTCTAGATATATACAATTGGCTAACATTTCCTTGACATCCTACCACTTTAAGGGATTTTTAAAAACAGTTTTTAAAAAAGCTTTATTGTCTTAATATGTTCACTGTGAGTTGTTTTTTTCACTCAAGTAATATTGGGGGCCTACATTCTCCCTTTATTCCTCATCTGGTTTCCATTGAGGTTGTAAAACGAGGACATTTCTCTTCCTGGCAAAACTAGCAGAAACTTTGTGACACGAATTCCCTCTTCCAACTTCTAAGCTTCCAGCATGGTTTCAATTATAGACATAAATAGATTGGGAAATTCAGCCATGCCCCTCTTTTTCTCACACATAACAGCTTTCCTTTTTTTAAAAAAAAAATCTACTGTCTACTGCCCCACGAAGAACAGAAAACTAGTTCTTTTTCAGAAGTTTCAGTACTTTGTACATGTTGTTGGAAACAAAGAAAGTTACTGCAAAAGTTCAATATATATAAGTTCCTTCTCTCCCACCCCCCTCTCTCAATTAGATTAATGTTGTAATTCTTTTCCACTAAGAACTGTTGCAGAAAATTTAGGAGAAAATTCTTTCAGTACTTAGTGTGCTATGATTACCATCTTAACCCAGCTCCTGCTAGTACTGAGTCAGAGAGCTAAGCCACTTCTGGATTTTGACGTTACTGAAAAAGAACATTTGTGTCTTCTGCTTTCATGCAGTCAATTCATTGAGAAGTTTGGGTTTGCAGAAAATTGATACCTAGCCCTTTAATCCTTGGAATTTGAGGTCAAGGCTTATAATTTTTGGTCACAAGTCAAATGAGTGTCTGGTGGATGTTTCTTGACATCACAAAACCCGCACTTTAGTCATAAGAAGCAGTTCTTATGTTCTGGTGTAGAGAGTTCAGGATGGGAGAACAGCAGGAAATAGTCTGTAAAAAAGGGGAGCAGCTCATTATCATGCTGGTGGAAATAGAGGGTTGAATGCCAGATTTCATTGCCAATCAAATGACTGAAGGATGAGAAGCAGAAAAAAAAAAGCTAAGCAATCTGATTTTTGAACCAGAAAAACAAAAGTATTTCTGGCCACTTTGGAAGAAAATAGAACAAAAGAAAACAGAATAAGATTGTTTTGCGGATTTTATTTTTTCCTGGAAAATCCAGGCAATTTTTACATATCTTTCTCTCTTCTTGTACTTCCATATTTTGAGTACAAGAAGATAGTTTTCACAATTAGATGTAATTCTTATTCCCGTTGTTGAGCAGTTCACCTAAATCTGATGATTTGCAAATTTCAAAATTTGAAATATTTTGCTTTCTTGGTAGCTACATTATACTGAGGATGGTTTTATGGAGAGCAGACATATCCTGTCATTGTATGGAACATGTTTAACGGGATTTCTAAACTCTTAATTGCAACTATCTTATCTTTTCCAAAATTAAGCTACCACCATTGTTTATTCAGGCCAGAAATAGGAAGATCATATCATATCTTAAGAATCTAGACATGAATTCACAGCAAACTGAGATTACAGTATGTCAAAATAATGAAATCTGTATGGTGATGCCATGACACAAATCCCACGCTTATGTACTTGCATCCTAACATATGCCAAAAATTCCCAAGTTCCAGATTTTGTTATTTCCATGTATAGATGCCTATGAGTTATAGTTTACCAACAAATCAAGGTGCCTGAATGTCCAGAGGGTTTACATTTGAGATATAGTTCATTTAGTCTATCAAAGATGTGAAAAATATCCTGGCGCTACAGGTTTGCTATCGGTAGCGCGCAGGTGTACATGCTTGCTTTGCGAGTGTGCAGCACTTCTGCTTATGCACAGAGCATTTTTGATGTCATCTGGGTGGGTGGGCGGAGCCTCCCGCCTCCGCCGCCAGCAGTTTGCCTGAACCAGGGTGAACCAGGAGCAACCCACCACTGGTTATAAACCATATGGCATAAGCTGTATGGATACAAAAACTTTTCACACAATTTCATATTTTAAGCTGTATTTGCAGGGCTGCATCACAACATGGACCTTGTTTGTGAGAGGCTGTCTGTATGGTTTTACACATAAGTCCTTCATGATAATAGATCTGTTCTGCAAGATGTAGAGTGGGTTCACATGTATCATTAAGCTGGAGCGCAGCTTGTTCAGTTTTAGTTTAGCATGCTAAGAGAATTACAGTGTTTATAGATCATAGTTTAATAGCAGGTTATGCACATGACACTTAGTCAAAATGTGGTTTTCTTGTTTGTAGCATATCGTATGAATATAGCCATTGTGGTTTAAAAACTTTGTCGTAGGGAATAATGTATTATATAAGTGCAGCTATTTGTGTTTTGTTCCGAAATGGAGGTTAAACTATGGCTTAGGTTTTTTTGTACTGCACCAGCAGGTACATTTTGCAAATATTATATTGATAAGACAAATAATAGATTACCTTCATGTGCATGCAAGGCCAGAATCTAGTCATGTTACTAAAAGTTTCAATATTTTATTTTTGCTCTTTTTTAATAACATGGCAGAACAATCTGGAAATGAATGTAAATATCTTTGTTAATGTGAAAATTCATCTATGAATTCATAGCATCAATTCATCTATAACTATGATACATTTTCTGGAAAACTGTAATTTACTTGCAGAAACTTGCACAATTGTATGAATTGGTAAAATTTTAAAGTAATAAGATAATTATTTAAGCAATCATATTTATCCATTGAAATATATCTTGTACTTGAGCTAGACCTGATTTTTTTCCTGTAAGACAATTTGTTTATTTAGTTAAATTATTAGAAATATATTTCACTATATTATCACCCTTTATATATGCTGAAACCATAAAATAGAAATACAACTGAAAAGAATTGTATAAATGTTTGAGACCACAACTGTAAAACATGATTACAACTATCTTTTTTCTTGTAAAATGAAATCTGTTCTCCTCAATGTGAGATAACTACAGATGAGATCTTTTAGAAATCTCAGAGCAATAATTTCTTACAAATTGGATGGTTTTTTAAAAAGAAAAATTGGAAAATATGGTGAGAAATTATTATTTGTTTGTTTAGTTTTAGCTTCCTTTACAAATATGTGGTCACTTTGTTATTTAAAATATGATATGATAACTTGCTTTGCTTATGAAACTCTGGTGTATTGTATAGAAATGAAATGTATAAGTTGATTAACATAATAATGAGAAATGAATCCATTGAAGTTACTTTAACTATCCTAATTTTTGCTGTAACTATAGCTACAAGCTGCTGAATAATAATAAAGAAAGTGGCATCCGTGTAATTTTCCTTATGTATGATAAATAGGCAGGCAGAAGTTAAAATTAAAAACAAAATAAAAAACATCAGTTTTTTAAAAAGCCTTTGATCTCCATAATGAACATGACTGGCTACAGTGGAAGTCCACACTTCTTAAAGTTGGCAAATTTGAGAAACACTGTCCTATAGAAACAGAAAGTATTATATTTCAGAAAAAGGCTAAAAGAAGGCAATGAGACAGAATGCACATTTTTCCACATAAAAAGGGTTTTCTAAAATCAGTCTCATTCTCTGAATCTGAGCTCCTTGTTTAGATCCCTAATTTTTATCTTTGTGTAAGTATTTGGCATTTGTATTAAATGAGATTTTCTCACTCTTTCAGGTGTTAGTTTATTTATTTATTTTTAAATTTTGGTGTATTGTCAAACCTAGATCATTTTTTCACTTCTCATGTATTTCTGTATTATATATATATATTAAAAAATCATAAAGAAAATTCCATATTTTCCCCAGACCTTTGTCTAGAGATAAGCTGGCAAGAAAAAATATTTAAGATATTGTTCCATTTTACAAAGTAGAACCATATGCGTGTTTCTATCTGTCATACATATGCTTAGAAAAGGGTGTTTATTTTGCTTTTTATCTAGCAATTATTTTGATTTATAGTTGTATCACAACTGTATACTCCTTATTCCTCATCAGTCATTTTTAGTAACAAATATTAATAATGATGTTTAATACCTTCTCTTCTTCTTGTAGTTCCTATAGTACTGAAGAGCTGCGCAGAGTTCATTGAGACTCATGGAATTGTGGACGGAATCTATCGGCTTTCTGGTGTGACATCCAACATTCAGAAACTGAGGTGACAAAAATGAATCTGTGTTAGGCCTCTTATATACTTTGTTTTTCATGAGGGGGCTATAAATATAAGTATGTGGATTGGACCTGGATTTTTATTTTAAAATATAGCACTAGAATATGAAAGGTAGCTACAAAATAAATTCAGAAACATCCTGAGTGTCATTATATGGGAGCTTTCAAAATTCAGCGGTTCAAATTCCTAGTACAGGTCTCCTGCGTGAGTAGGGGGTTGGACTTGACCTCCAAAGTCCCTTCCAACTCTGTTACTGTTACCTGTTACCTAGGTGATTCAAACTATGTAGACATTTGAATGTAATTTAGTTTATTTATTTAATTAATTTCTAAGACTGTTTACTTCACTAATGAATGTGGGACAGCTTATGAGGAGTAAAACAGTAGAAAAGTAAAATACAAAAGACTAATAAGAAAAACTGCATCGGGGAAGAATGATATCTGTATAAAATACAATGGGTTCACACTTAACCCAAAATTTGTTGTAAGACCCAGACCTTTGACACCCTCTTACTAGTCAGTGAAGCTGAGGCCATATGGAGGAATGGTGTTCCAGACGACTGGCACAGCACAGAAAATACAGATTTCTGGAATCTTCTAAAACGACATTGCTTAATTTAATGGAACCTGGAGTGTTCAACTCCTGTCAGGTGTTATAAATGAGGAGAAGTGATTCTGCAAGCTGTATGCCATGTTGATATTCCCCCCAGTAGTAATAGTAATTTTATTATGGTCAGAAACAAGCGTTACAAATAAGTATTGAAAAATAAAATAAGATAATAAAATTAAATTAAATTTAAAAAGATAAGATAATTAACAACTAGTAGTAGATTGTCGGTAGGCAAAGTCTAATTTTGAAGACAGTGATACAAAATTTAGCTACCTTCAAAGAGACATTGGATTGATCCAATAACAGCAACTGAACATCAAAAAAGACTGGTGGTTCCCAGGTATTTTATCAGGTGAGGTGTTATGAGATGGGTTTGTGAGTTCTTATAGAAGGTACAGTAGAGTAGAATGTGAGCAGAGTTTTAATAGTTGAGTTTTAATCTCAACTCATATGGATTTTTTAAAAAAATATTGACCCTCCAAAACTGCTGTGGAAAGTACATTGCAGTGTGTTAAAGTTAATACCCTTTGGAGATTGGGGACGGTTATAAGGTGTAAATATTTTGCTGCTTTGCAAAGAGGAGTTTGACTGCTCAAGGAAACATTCTTAGGAAGAGCAAGACTGATCTTGTTGGGCTTCCAGATCCTTGATATGTTGTTTGAACTCATACCCCATCAGTAAAAGTGCTTCCCTGGAACAGCAAAGATACTGAAGTTTTTGGGAGTTGGTCCTAAACCATGCTGATTCATAATTGTCCTTTATAACAACGGACACCAACTGGTGGTCCATGGCCCACTGGTGGTCCATGAAAAATTTTTGGTGATCCACAGAAAAATTATTTGGATTTTTTATATTGCACTAAATCAGGGGTCCTCAAACTATGGTCCCTGGGCTGGATACATGCAATGAATGTTTGTGTTGCTGCAGAGAGTTTCCCCCTTCATGGTCTTTTTGTGCGGGTCAGAGGGGGGCAGAAATTCTGACTTCGGGTCTGCTTCAGCCGCCTGGTGTGGGGCTTTGGGTGAAGGCTGGAGGGAAGTGCCGCTGCTGGTGAAGAGCCGGAGGGCCTTGTTTCAGTGGGACTGCATCATGGCCTGGAATTGGCTGACCATCTCAGCCTGCTGAGCCTCAAGGCACCAGTACCTGGCCTTGCACTCCCACAGGTCTTCCCCCTGCTTCCCTATGCTCATAGTCCTCAGTGAGGTGCTTCTGCTGAGCCTCCTTCTTGGTCAGATTCAATTTGAACTGAGCTGTTTTGCCAACTCTTTCTCATGGTGGCTGCTTAGCTCCAACAACTGCTTCCTGTTGGGGCCCCCGGCGGGCTGATGAGGAGTGGCTGGGAGGGGAGGGGCGAGTAGAGGTGTCTCTCGATGTGAGTGACATCAAGTTGGCCATGCCCACCCAGTCACATGACCACCTAGCCACGCCCAGCCAGTCGGTCATTAGGCAGATCATATTAGTGGTCTGCAGGATTTAAAATTATGAATTTAGTGGTCCCTGTAGTCCGAAAGGTTGATGACCCCTGCTCTATAAGAAAAGAACTCAAACCTGCAAGGAAAAACGTTGATACTCTATTCAAACATTAGAATTGTCACTGTTTGCAAATGAAATCTTGATCATATTCAGGGATTTTGAAACCTATTTAATTCTCCCAATTCTAGTTTTTCAAAGCTCCTATAATTCTTTTTCTTTTTCTTTTTTCTTTTGTTTGATTTATTGGTGTCAAGCAATGGATTCTTGGTCTTTTATCCACACAAAGAAGTTTCATTCATTCCTTTTCAAACACTTTTTTTACATGGTGATGGTGGAGTACAAAAGTTGAAAGGCTTATTTTCCTCTACATATGTATTTGCTATTGCAGCTTTTTTTGAATCTGCCCCTATCCAAATTTTGAAATAATGGCCAATAGTTCAACAGTGGCTTATAATGGATTGTCTTCATGTAAGTGGCCTTTATACCATACTAATTACAGTATCTGAAACTAGAATATGCAGAATCCATGTAGTTCTCAAGGTTACGATAGGTTTCCATGGTGATTCTAGGTGCCAAGGAGGTTTTCCATGGCTGACGTACAGTATTACATTATCAGATCTTTGTTACCAAATCAGAATCCTATTTGTTTTTTTGTTTTTTTGTAAAATGAAGATATTAATTTTGTTTCTACAGTATCTCATTCTATTTATTAACCCCATTATGTTCCCTTCTCTGTTGTTGCAGACAAGAGTTTGGCTCAGATCAATGCCCAGACCTGACTAGGGAAATTTACTTACAAGATATTCACTGTGTTGGATCACTTTGCAAGTTATACTTCAGGGAACTGCCAAATCCTCTTCTCACATATGAACTTTACAAGAAATTCACGGTGAGATTTTTCTGTTCCATTTTTTATTTTCATTATGGATGAAGGAGATATTGCAGTTGTACAATGCATTCCGGTTTTCTGTATGTAATAACAAGAAAAACAAAATTCCTGGGTCTCCTCAAAAAGTCTTATCCTGTGCCTCCTCCCAAGCTTTAATTTGAATCTCGGTTAAATGCATTTGTAATTATTTAGCCCATAACACACAAAATAAGAAAAATGTAGCCCTGGATTTCCAAAATTCCATATGGCAATTTTTATTATATTGGAGGGAAATTTTTAAATAGTCAGAAATAAAAAAAAAATACTTGTAAATTAAACACATATACAATAGTTTTAATTTTTGTCTTACCTAATTCTTTATCCTTATCCTGCCTTCTTTTTTTTCAAAAGGGGGGTGGGTGGTATAGTCCCTAGCTTGTTACTTCAAGGCTAAATGCAAGCATTAAATTGAATTGTACTTTTTAATGTTTAGTAACGTAACACCTGGAATGCTGCATCCAGTTTTGGTCACCACATTACAAAAAAAGATGTTGCGACTTTGGAAAACGTGCAAAGAAGAGCATGTAAGATAATTAAAGGCCTGGAGACTAAAACATATGAAGAGGGATTTGGGTTTGGCTAGTCTAGAAAAAGAACATGATAAGAGTATTCAGGACATGATAAGAGTATTCTAGTATTTAAGAAGTTGCCATAAAGAGGAGGGGGTCAACTTATTTTCCAAAGCACCAGAGGGCAGGACAAGAAACAATGAATGGAAACTAATCAAGGAGAGGAGCAACCTGGAATTAAGGAGAAACTTTCTAACAGTGAGGGCAATTAACCAGCAGAACAGCTTTCCTTCAGAAGTTGTCAGTGCTTCATCACTGGAGGTTTTAAAGAAGAGATTGGACAGTCACTTGTCTGAAATGGTATAGGATCTCCTGCTTGAGCAAGGGTTGGACTAGAAGACCTCCAAGGTTCCTTCCAGTTCTATTCTGATTGACTATTGTTTATGCAAAACTTCAGTTGCTTGAATAAAAGGAGTTTCTTTTGGGATACTCTACTCAAAAATTTATGCAGTCTGGAGATTTGTCAGTCTTATGACAAATAGTCTATGTGGTATCATCTAGTGGAGGCCATTTTCTCATTGTGGAATTTATGAGGTGTACAGTATAGAGATGATTTCTCCACAGTAACCCATGCTTCACAATCTCCTAGATTTCTGAGACACACTCTGTGTGGAGCTGCTGTTGAAGATGGTTCAGAGTTTTCAATCTGTGCCAAAGGCAGATACAAACTTGTAGACTACAGTACTTCATGAATGCAAGGTCACTTAATATTAATTCTTAATGAGCTGCACTAGTTGACTGTGATCAACCGCAACTCAAAGGATTAAATTTAATATGTAAAGCTGCAAATGGTTTAGGATTTGGTTAACCTCTAGGAATGCCTGTCCCTTTATTTTTGTTTGTGTAACATTAAACATATACTTAGAAATAGCCTGTTTTAGGGATTGTTCAATTACTAGAGGAAGGCTGAATTCATAGGAATGTCAATCACAACTGTGTAACTTATTTTTCCTTAGAAATTAGATTGTTGCCAGTGTTGAGATTATGGCTAGTCTAGAAAAAAGAAGGACTGAGGGGGACAGACGGACAGACACATGATAAGGGTATTCCAATATTTGAGAGGCTGCCACAAAGAGGAGGGGATCAACTTATTTTTCAAAGCACCAGAGGGCAGGACAAGAAACAATGGATGGGGGTTGGTCTAGAAGACCTCCAATGTCCCTTCTAGCTCTATTCTGATTGATGTTTGAGATAGAATTGTTTTTTTGAGAGAGTGCCAAACTGAATGGTATTCTAGTTTGTAATGAAGCATTTATTTTTTGTGACCCATGTAAAAGCAGGGGAGGTGTTATCAAGGAAAATAGGTAGTTCCATCAGATGGTCAGCTCAGCTGCCTTGCATGCACCACTTGGAGGAAGGGTAGTTATTGGCTTTGAAGATCATGGGCATCCACTTGTAGGAAGGCAACATCTGCAAAATGGTGAATGTGGAATTCCCACATTCCCATCCTTTTTACATGTATGTGATGTTGATGTACATACAAAAGAAATCGGGTTTGAATCATGACAACATAGATTTGGCCTACTGCTGCATAAGTATATCTTACGAATGACAGAAACTTCATTAACAAAAATTAATTACATACCAATTAAATGCGCACATTATTTTACATGGCTTTGTGTATATGTATATATGTGTGTATGTATGTTATACATATTTATGTTATCATCATTGTATGTTATCATCTATCTATCTATCTATCTATCTATCTATCTATCTATCTATCTATTTATCTATCTATCTATCTATTTATCTATCTATCTATCTATCTATCTATCTATTTATCTATCTACACACATATATGCATTTTCATAGCATACGATTTTCTAATATCTGAAATTTTGTTCATAGTATTTACTTGAAGAAATATATCAGACAGTTTGGAGAAGGGTAATTATTTTCTAGTTTTCATTGTAATTTGGGAAATATGAACGAGGTCAGTTCATATTAGAATGTGATTTGAGCCTATTTAAAAATTGCAGTAAATCTATTTTGCATGTAATGGCTTTTGAAAGAATATTATGTTCTTTCCCAGTACATAGCACTACAGCAAGCAATCTGAGTCAAAAGTCCCTTTCAAATATTTTTGTTCATGGGTATTTTGCTCAATGCTGTTTTGACTACTGGTCTGCAGCTGGTAAAGTGCATAAATCCTGACTTACAGTGCACCATCATTTTACACATAAATGGTAGCAATAATTCAAACATTAAAAATAAAAAGTAGAGCTTATTTACATTTCTGGAAAAGTAAAGGTGAACTTAATTGAGAAATGACAGCAAATGATATATGATAAAAGATGATGTGATAATGATGATAATGAATACTGATATATAAAAAAACAGTTGACAACATCTGTTATAAAAGTTGTTCTTATGCTGTCTGCATAATTTAAACAGAATATACGTTTTGTGCAGAGTGCATTCCCAATACATTTTCCCTCAAGTGAATATCATAGATATCAATCATGTACTAGGTCACTTTCCTTTTTCTGCTGGAAAAACAAGAAATGATTGTTTCCGAAACAAGGGACAGAATTCTTGAAAAGCTGTGGACTGAGACTAGAAAAGAGTGGATTTTCCAAGTTATCCCGGATTAAAATCTGGAATTTCCAAGAAGTAGGTACTCCAGAAAAAAAATCCAACTCTGCATTATTGAATACTTTGCAGTTGAATACTTAAGGTCAATGAGAACCTTTATAGTTTATAGATATCTTTTTAGTTGAACTTTGATTTCGTTATGTTTGGGGGATTAGTCTATTATCCAAGGAGGGGGAAAGGAGCATATCCTCTGGTTAGGTTTTCAGATGTTCAAAGACTGCTATTACATCTCTTTTATCTGTAGACTAAACATATCTCAGTCTTTTTTCTATTCTTTATAGGGCTTGGTTTCCAGACCCCTTGCCATCTTGGTAGCCTTCCTCTGAACTTGCTCCAATTTATCATTGTGTTTTTTTTAAAATGATGACGCCCAGAAAAAATCCTAAATAACATTCCTAAATAACATCAGAACTGGGTAGAGTAGAACAATTTTGGCAGTTCAAATCTCTAGTACAGGTCTCCTACATGAGCAGGGGGTTGGACTAGTTGACCTCCAAGGTCCAACTCTGTTACTGTTAGAATTATTGCCATGATTTGGATTCTATGAATATGATAATCCATCTCAAGATAGAATTTACTTTTTAAGCAGCTGGATCACACATTTGTCTCAATTTTAACTTGTGGTCAAGAAGGTGATCCAGATCCTTTTCATACATACCAAACCAATTTTCCCCTCCAATTGTTGGAAGAAAAATCCATCTGGTTCAGTTCCAAGTGGGAAGAAAGACACTGGAAACATGGAGGCTGATTGGAAAGATGGTTTATTGAGGGACAGGACCACATGGGTTGGAAATCCTGGGCAGCTGAACACATGGAGAGGAGAGTGAGAGGTATTTATACCCTCTTTTGGGCTTTGAACTTGAGCTTCCTGTTCCTGTGTGAGAATATGTATTCTATTGGCTGTAGTCAGACTCCCATGTGAAGTCATGTTTGTCTGAAGCAAGTTTGGTTGAACCTTGGGCTGATGTAATGTCCACAGGTGATTTTGCAATGCAGTGAGCCCTGCTGCTAGATAATCCTATAATGTCCTGGAGGGTCATGTCTTAATCCCATCACCTTGGAGCTGAAGGTCTTTTGTTTTGTAGATAGGTTGGCCCAGTCCTTCTCAATGGGCATCAAATATCTGCTGGGGGCAGGGAGCTGAACTTCTGAGTTTCTGTCTCCCTTAATATTTCTATTTTTCTTTTAGGGGAAATATAATATTCTGCCTTTTTAATATTTCCTAAAGTATTTCATTCTCCTAGGAGAGGGGTGGGTGCTAACTTTCTACACTATATTTATGTAGATCTTTACATTTCTCTCTATTAAATCACATTCTATACATCCTTAATGCTATCCCTTAGGTATGCTTTCTCTCTTTTTAGGGATCATATATCATTGTTTAATTAACTAGAGGTGTACATGGCATACATTTGCCTTTTTGCTGTTGTGTCAATCAAGTTTTAAGATTTCTCAAGATTAGTTGCTCCACCTCATAAAATACTATTTACAAAAGTTAAAAAAAAATAGGCACAGTGCAGAAGCTAGAAACAAAGGTTCAACACTTACTATCAATGCAGTAGCCCTTCATTTAAAAAGTTGCCTTCAGCCTCATCTACCTCTTTTTCATACCTGCCACAATCAGTCCCTGCATTATAATGGTTTTAGCTGAATTGCTATTCATCTCCTTTTATTCTGCCTATAAAGTGGGATCAAACAGTATGGACTTTACTTATTGTGCTCCTGTGAGAACAATATGAAAGCTTTGATACCTTAAATAATTAATTTTATGGTCCTTTGTTGCAAGCAGAATAGACTAGCTCTTGTCAGATTTTATACTTGCATTCCTAAGGTACTCATTATTGTATGTATATACAATATAATGCAGTGCAAACCATACAACCTCTATGCAGGCACTTAATTATGATAGTTAATGTTTAATGCAGCATAGTATTATGTTCTCACATGTCCCAGCACTCTTTATTGGATTGCTCTTTCAAAATACAGATAATATTTTAAAATACAGCCAATGTTTTTCTTTCCGCAATGCTTCTAAAATAATGCATTTCTTTTTTATGGTGATTTTTTCCCCTTCTTCCTGGTTTGTCCTTGTCTTTTAAATAAATATATCAGAATTTAAAAATGAAACAAATTTTTAAAGAGCTTATCTCAGAGAAAAAAAAATTCTAGACTGAACTGTCTATTTCTGGTCAACCTATTCCTAATTTGAAGGATTTTGAAAGAGTTTCAGTTTAAGCAGGCATCATCTTCCTCTATTCTTATCAATACAGATTTTGGTGAATCATTGATCTGTAGTAAAATTTTGCACGTCTGTCTTGTAATTAAAGTTCTAATTTGGTAGGCGAAATTAACGAGTAACCCCAAAATATTTGTCTGCAACAGAATGTGGGAAAGTCACTCCCAAGCAGCTCTGAGTTGCATATGATTGACCTCTAATCACAGACAGTCCAAATAAGTAGCAAAATTGCATGCCTTCAGGAATGGCTGCGTTCTGATTGTGTATGAATATGCATTTTCTTCTCTCAGGAAGCCTGCCACAAAGTACAACTCAATGCCAAACTTACACCTTCTTTTAAATGCAAATAACACCTGCAGGGAGAATCAGTAATTATCTCCTGTGAACAGAGATCATGAGCAGAGGTGAAAAACTCCCAGTTTGAAATGGTTATATTAGTGATAGGAACAGATTACTCAATGGAGCCCAAAGATGACATTTCTGTTCAGTTCTTGAAGGTCATATGCTGTACATGTAGAAGATTCATTTCCAGTCCTTGACATATCCAGATAATAAGAAGGACTCTTTCTTCAGTCCTCAGAGAGCCAATTCAAGTTATTATGGACAAATGGACAAATAAACCTACTCTGAACCTGTTTTGCTTGTCCTACTATATCCAGTGTTTTTAAAAATACTTTCTAGCTAGCATTGTGTTCAATGGGCCCATGTAATCTGGGAAGTGCCAATTTGTGGAGAAAACTGATTGAGGTGGTGATCTCTTTGGCATTCATAATGTGATCATGAGGAAAAGAATGTCCTTCCCTAATATACTAATTGATATATCACTGCTGAATTGAGAACTTTGTATGGTACTCAGAAAAAGAGTTCTTGGCAGATCTATTTTTGTGCAATTGTTTAATCCACTTGTAAGCTAATGATCAACATCACACTCCATTTTTTTAAATTCCCCAAATGTCATTATTTCCTAATACATATTACAATTATTTTACTTCACAACTTGATGGAAGGCTGCTGCTGGTTTTCCTTGGTTTCTGCAGGCATTATTATTTCCATTTTTGTTTATTTTGTGCATCAATTTGGTAATGATATTGTGGCGGACATTGTTTTTGCCTTCAAGAAATGGTTGTGAACTAAATGAATAATTTTTGATTTCTTTTTTTTTTTTTTATGTCTTGCAGGAAGCAGTCTCATGCGTCTCTGAGAAAGAGCAGTTGGCCCAGATTCAAAATGTTATCCAGGAACTTCCACCCTCACATTATAGGTAAAAGAGAAAACTTAGTAGTTATTGTGGGTTGCAGGCAGGTAACATCAGAAAAATATCCTTTAAGCTGAGGTTGCTCTGTTTTTAATTAGTTGAAAGACTGAATAGTCCACTAATAGTCCACTAATCAAATAATTGCTCAATAACTTAGCTATATTTGTTTCAATATATTTTTAATGAAACAGACAGGATGTTACATTATCAGGACTAATCATCTCTGTTCCCCACCTATCCAAACCATCTTCTTCCCAGCCTCGTTCTTCCAATGCTTTTGTTTCATGGTTACTCATCTATTACTGATGTTTATTACTGTATTCAGGTCTCTCTCACATCATTTTGAAATTCCAGGAAACCTTTTATTGTCAATTAAAATATTTTCAATCATAAAACGCTTTTTGTTTTGAGTCTCTGCTGTATAAGCATTGTTGTAGATAATCGCACAACCAGCTGGCTACTTAGTCATACGTGGCTTCAAGATAATTCAGATGAGGTTTTACATAGCTCAGGTTAGATCTATTTTGTGTCTTCTCCTCATTCAGTTTCAGATGTTCAGTGGGAGGAACATTGTGGGTCTGTGGGGTCCCAATGCCTCCCAGGAGAGATAAGTAAGAGTAAGAATATTTCAATGGAAGGGGGGAGTGCATTAGTAGCTAAAGTAGTAGACAAGAATGAAGAAATTGAAGTCCTCATGGCTCAAATTTTGCTGAAACCCCCAAATACAACAGAAATTGGTGTTAAATTTGTAATTTTTAATGTGACATAGTATGATTATAGGCAGTGATCACATTAGCTGCAATTTATTAATTTATTTTCTTATAAAAATAATGAAATGTAGTGTCTATTCTTAAACATCTTTGCTTTGGCCTCTTTCACTTTTTAGATAGAACATTGATCCTAGCCAGCCACTCAAAAGCCAGTATAACTAAGATAATATCTACATTTATTGGTGACTAGAAATCCTTTATGGACTTTTTGCATTTAAAAAAAGCCTGAACTTATGATTTATGGCTTTGATGATTAGATAGTAGAGATTATAGAAAGAAGGGAGTCACAATGTAAAGTTAATTTATAACTGTACTTGTAACTTCTATTAAGAAGATTTATTCATATATTTATTATTAATGAAATTTGTATACTCACCCATCTCACCAAAAGTTAGTCTGGGTGGCACACAACAATTGAATAAAAACCACAGATATAAAATATATATAAAAATATACATTAAGAAATAAATAGTATAAATGTACAAACCCTTAGGCGAAGAGTGGATAACAATAGCTGCCTCAACAATGGAGCCATCTAAGCATATCAACTGGAGCCCCAGGCCTCATAACGTAACGAGTGTGGAGAGTCTTCTAGAGCAGAGGTCTTCAAACTTGGTAGCTTTAAGACTTGTGGACTTCAACTTCCAGAATTCTCCAGCCAGCTATTAAGACTTGTGGACTTCAACTCCCAGAATTCTCCAGCCAGCTATGCATAGCATAGCATAGCTGGCTGGAGAATTCTGGGAGTTGAAGTCCACAAGTCTTAAAGTTGCCAAGTTTGAAGACCTCTGTTCTAGAGTATAAAAAGGGATGGAACTAATCTAATTTTGAAGGGGGGGAGGGGCAGGAGAGAAAGTTCCATAATGTAGATGCCACTTCTGTATATTATTTTTCTTTCTGTTCCATTTTTCTGTTTTTTTTCTTTTTGCACTTTTAATTTTTTCTTCATTTTTCTCTTTTCTTTTTAGTTTAGTTTGCACTAGTCTTATTCTTGTATTTAAAATTTTCAATAAAATTGTTTTTTTAAACTTCTGTAGCTATAATCCTAGCTACAAAATGATTGCACATTCAGTCCCAACCCAGCTTAGTTTACATTGTCACCTTAAAATATGCTCAATAATTGGCAATTGGTACAGATTTTAGTTTAGACATTAGCATTGTGCTACTGCGTGTTACATTAATTGTACGTGGTTCAGATGGCCCCATATCCAGCACATTACAATAGTCATATTTGTTCTTGGTTTGTCTTGACTACTTTATTTCAGGACCTTGGAATACTTAAGCAAGCACCTGGCACTTCTGGCATCCTTCAGTGGCATGACCAACATGCACACCAGAAACCTGGCTTTAGTGTGGGCACCCAATCTCCTTAGGTATGATAAATGCACTTATTCATTTTCTTTATCCTAAAGGCAATACTGAGAAAGTTAATGGAAATGTATAGTAGATGTGCACATTGGAACTTTGTGAACAAATCCAGCCATGGAGGAAGATCATACAATCAAATATGATGGTGGAAGTGAATCTCAGCAATTTGTTGTTTGTTTTCCCATTTTCATGGTCATAAAAACTGATGAGGTGTTCATATATAGTTCAGTGGCTGTGTTTTCTTGGAAAAAGTAAAGGAAATACCTGAAAAAGTTGCAAATCTGAAAAATTATAAAATGTGTATTTTAATAATATATTCAGTCAAGAAAACTTATTTTTTAAAACATGTGCGTGTGTGTGTGTGTATATATATATATATATATATATATATATATATATATATATATATATATATATATATATATATATATATATATATATATATATATATATATATATATATACACACACACACACACACACACACACACACACACACACACACATACACATACATACATACATACATACAGAGAGAGGGGGGGAGAGAGAGAGAGAAAGTTTTGGTGTATTTGAGTCTTTTCCCATGTAAGATTGATAGTATCTTGGCGACGTTTTGACGAGGTCCCACTCGTCATCTTCAGGCTGGTGTCTTCGGCTTCGTGCTTGTGCGAGGAAAGCGTGATTGGAGCTGCCGTCTGTCTATAAATACTGGTGGGGAGGTGTGGGGTGCTGGCTTTGTTGCTGTGAGCGGGTTGGTTGACTATGTTGTTACATCTTGAGTGGTTGATGGAGTTGATGTTTGCAGATTAGTCAGCTGTTTCGTAACATCCTGTGTGGGTGAGATCTTGATGTGTGCCCATTAGTCTTTTGTGTTTTAACGACCTGGGTAATGGGCTATGTGTTAACACCCTGATTTCTAGTGTTGTGATATCCTGAGTTATTTGATGTAATGTCCTGAGCAGATAGCTGTGATGCCACATCCCGGGCTTTGGTTTGGCTCCGAGTTTGAGGTCTTGCCATGTGTTCATGGTGTGTGTCAGTTTGCTTTGTGTGGGGATCGGAGGGGGGTGCAGCAGCTGGTGATGCCGCCATGGTCTGGCTTCTGGATGGTGGTTGTATTTTGTCTATGGGATGGGTTTGGGTTTGAACCTGGTGAGGATGATTGGTGGTGGTGTCATGTGTTATCTTGGGTCCGGTGTTAATCTGTATGGCTGGGACTCTTCTGTTGACCAGGGCTAGTTTCCAGATGTCCGGTAGGAGGGAGGTATCATCGCGTTTATTCATGTTTCTCTATTTCGATGGCTTCCATGATTATTCTCTTGTTGAAATGTTCAGTTTTGGAGATTAATTTGGTTCCTTCAACGTCAATTTCATGTCCTGTTGTTTTAAGGTGCTGGAAAAGGGAGGAAGTTTTTTCTTCTTTTCTGATTGCGTTCTTGTGTTCTGCAATGCGTGCATTTATTCTCCTATTAGTTTGTCCAATGTATGTGGCTGGGCAAATTTTGCATGGTATTTCATAGACTCCTTGGTTTTCTAGCTGAATCTTGTCTTTGGGTTTTCTTAAGATGTTGGCTATTTTTTGGTCAGTGCAGAAGGCTGTCTTGATACTGTGTTTGTGGAGAATTTTGCTGATTTTATCTGTGGTGCCTTTGATGTAAGGAAGGAGGGCGATGCCGTTGTCCTGTTCTGTGTCTCAGTTGTTGGGGGGGTGTCTCCCTTTGGATTAGGTTGGTAATTGTGTTTCTTTGGAACCCTCCTCCCACAACTTCTAAACTGATAGTAAAGGCTAGAAGATGACAAGGTAGAGAGCTTGTTGAAATGTTGCCAAACCTTTAAAGTGTTGGTTAGGATTTTAGCCAGAGTTTTAAAAGACCTTACAAAGTGTTTTGTTGGGATTTTGGAGGATTTTGAGCTGAGATCTTAGCCAGGATTTTAAGCATTTTAACAAATGGGAAAACACCCAAGATTTTAACTTTTTATATACACCCACCCGTGAAAACTTGAGAAGACACACACACACACACACATATATACATATATACATATATACATATATACATATATACATATACATATACATACATACATACATACATACATACATACATACATACATACATACTATATATATATATATATATATATATATATATATATATATATATATATCTGTTTCAAGAGACCAAAAGTAAAAACAGTGGTGTGAAGTTGAACTATCTGATCAAATAGGGCAGTGATTCTCAACCTGTGGTCCACAGACTTCGGGGTGGGTGGGTGGGCTACAATGTCATCACAGGCTTGAAGCCTTGAAGAAATGTTATTATTTAAATCTTGAGTTAAATCTTGGGAGTCCATGGCCACAAAAGGTATTTAAAGGGGATCTGTGGTGAAGAAAAGAGAACCACTGATATAGGCCATGACTAGAGAAGGGAACCAAGTCTGTTTTTTGAGTTTTTCTCAAAGTATAGTAAAATTATTGTTGAAAAATTGGCTATAGCACGGGTGTCAAACTCGATTTCATTGAGGGCTGCATCAGAATTGTGTTTGACTTTGGGGGGCCAGGGTGGGGCGGGTGTGTGTGGCCAGCTTGACATCACTCGTGTCAGGGGCGCCTGTGGTGGCCTGAGCACCCTGCCAGCGAAAATGGGCTCTTGAGCTCCATTTTTGGCTGCAACTGCCTCCTGCAAGTTTTTGCCAGTGAAAATGGAGTCAGGAGGGCTGCTTACGGCCCTCCCAAACTCCATTTTCACTGGCATAGACACTGCAGGCTAGTCCTTCACTGTTTCCAGGGTGGACCCACGGGCCAGATCTAAGCACCCAATGGGCCGGATCCGGCCGGTGGCCCTTGAGTTTGACACCCGTGGGCTATAGTTCCACAGTATTTTTCAATGTGATATGAAAATGGTATTGTCACACCTAAAATAGGCTTTGTATAGATTAAAACAAAAAAACAAAAAACAAAAAAATCTCAGACACATCCCTTCTAAATTAGGAAAGAAACTGCAAAATCCCTACTCTATTTATGTGTTTGCTGTAACCATGCCCATTTGTCAGATGCATCTGGTGTCCTCATCACGAGGCACAAGAAGAGATGGAAAACACACACACATACACTTTTGTACTCAAGTTTCTAGTATTAGGTGGAGCAATAATTCATAAAGAGTATTGGAGACATCTGACACAGTACTTCTCCAAGCAGCAATACATTGAAATGAATTTGATTCTGGAAGCACTATTGCACAGATCCATTTGTTTCATGTAGTTTTGGAAACATAAGCTTCTCATTAGAATTTTCCATTGTGTGTATGCAGCAATACAGGGCATGTGAACGATTACTAACAATGAGTTTGTTCAAGGATACCAGTCTGGTCAACAAGAGGCTCAGGGTTTGAGCCTCGGAAAATACAGGGTAAAACTTGTCTCCATCTTTGCAGTTCTTGAACTGCTCCAAAATTTAATTGTGTCTCCTTCAGATTCCATCTTTTTTCCTTTGGGGAGGGGGGAGGGTTTGGTGGTGGTGAAAACTATACTTATTTATATAAATATGGATCCCCGGGGAAAATGAAAAGTAGGTGTACCTCCCTTACAAGGCTATCCTGTTGAAGGAATCCCTTCTGAGTTTTATCTAGCACTTCAGCCATTAGCTTTACAAAGGATTGTGTTGCCCAGAAATAATTTCTTCAGCAACACTTTGGCATGTCAAGATAAGAAAGAATTTATCTGTTTCTACTTTTTGGATTGGTAGGTGAAGCTGGAGTTAGAAGGAGAGATTGTTTGGGCCAAAACATTGATGTGATGAAAAACACAAAGCAGACTTTCTTTTCTTTTTCTTTTTTTTTAAAAAAAGACAAACTCACAAAATCCATCAAGTTGAATTGTTTTCTGATGTTTTCCCATCTTTTCCCACTTGATGCTTTGAAGTGATGGTTCCACTCAGAGATAACTTAAATCCTGTGGATTAACTTGGACTGCAGTAGCCCCAGCTCTAAGTAGAATTGCTACACCAATGATCAGAATGTTGCCTAGAAAATGGCTCATATGCCTCTTAGCAAGGGGTTGTTAAGATCTGTTGTCGTAATTAGGCAGAGTTCTGAAGTTCCTGGGGCATCCCTCCTTGCAGCTTTAATAATCTGGTGTAGTAGAGGGAGGCTTGCTGTAATGCTATATGTTGTATTCACATGAAAGTGCTTGCTATGCACTTTAAGGCTCTTGTCTTCACTCTTTGCTGGACAGAAATGGGACATAAATTTCTGCCACTAGGCAGCAGATTTAAAGTAGCTCAGCTCAGATAAGAATTTCATCGGAATGTTCTTTGAAGTAATCTGAAACAATCCTTGCTTGTGTATGCTGTTTATTTTTGCTGACATAATATTGCTGGCTGAGATGTGTTTCATGTTTGATTATGTCTCATGCTATTTTATTTGTCTGGTCTGCCATAAAACAATGCTGCCCTGTTGATTTATAGCATTTCATCTTATTCTTCTTTTAGGAAGCTGAAATGACAACCAAGCATTCCCCTCCTCCGCCTATTTCATCTCATGCAACAATACTGAATGTTCATGCTTTAGTTTGGCCAGCTTAAAAATGCTAACAGGATCAGCTGGAGTAAGGAGTCTGATGAGATGGAAAATGTTTCTTTCATAACTGATATTTGCTTTAGAACAAGGGTGGCAAACTCATGTCATCACATGACAAATCAGGACTGTTTTCCCCTTTGCTAAAATGGGCAAGGGTGTGGCCAGCACATGACGCATCTGGCCCATGGGCCAGGAGTTTGACAGCCCTGCTTTAGAAAAGAAGCTATAACCATCATTATCCTTGACATGCTCCCAGCTCCAGCTGATATTAATTGCCCCTTTAAGAAAAGACTGTCCATTAAATGTTATGTTAAATATATTTCATCTGGAGAAATCTTCACTAGCATTAAAATAGGTACTGTGGGCTTCTTTCTGAAGAGAGATTTCACATGGAGCTCCTTGTTCCTAATCTGATATTCTAATCATTGTAGCATATTGACTGACTGTCTTCTAAGGTTTAAGAAGTTATGGGTGTTGAAGGCTACACATCTGAAGGATACTGTTTAGGGGAAGGATTATTAAAACTGCCGTTGCAACATTTGATAAAAGCCAGTGAAATCAATGGGAGTTTTTGTCACATTCTTTCAAACCCTGACTTAATGAGATCTAAGGAAGGGGCTTGTTATATTTGTACTTCATCTTTGTTCATAAATTTTGGTCTTCCTTTTATAAAAGCTTAGCAAAGACATTTTGCTAACTAAGCAAATCAATACACTAATCCATGTACAAAAAACCCCATCTGAATAATTGAGTCTCTTAAATGGGATGACTATTCTTGAAATTACTTTTAGCTTACAGAAGGATTGTTCTTACACAAGGATTGTTCTGAGATGCAAGTTCCATTCATGAAACTGTTCTTCTCAGTTACGATCTGTGATCCATTTTAATTCTTCCCTTGCTGTCCTTCTAAAAATCTATATTTTGATTCCACCATAAGTTGATTATTACCATTTGTTTCTCCTAAAAGAGTAATAAAGAATTATGAGCTGAATATAGCCGTGGAAGTTCTCTTTGAAGATGTTCCCCCAGATTCAGACTCTTCTTCTTTTTTCTTTCTGTAAAGGGGAGGAAATGCTCTTTGAAAGACACACCGCAGTGTTTAAAGACTGCCTGCAGATTTTTGCTGCATCTTTGAAGGGTTCATGGCTCTCCAAGGCTTTGATGGATCTCTATAAGGAGTTGTCCCCTTTGTACAGTATTTAAGTTTCAAAGCAGACTTGATGAATTAGAGTAGAGGATATCTTAATACCCAATTGCTTTGGTTTCTGAGAAGGGAGAAGAATTTGGGAGGACTATATGGGTGAATAGTTTATGTGTGAACATAAGGTATGCAACCGTGGTCCTAAGGCCAAACCATTTCTCTGCTTTAGCTTAGCTCTGTTGGTGTTGATGAATGATGCACCCTTCATGGCATGGTATTCCTAAAACATTTGTCTGGAGACCATTTGAAACCGATTATCTACCCTGACTCTGTATTTTGAAGTGAGCAGTGCAAGTTCTGTGTGATTGGCTCTATTTTGCTACCCAACAACATATTGGTATTGATGAAAATAGAATGGTACTTATGACTAATCTTATGTTTCCAACAATTGACTACATTATGGCTTTTATTTTAAATCTTTTTAAGAAAAGAGACCATGCCATTTAAAATGTACTTCATGTACTTCATGTAACTCATGTAATGTGTATAGTTGATTAATGCATGTCTGTAATGTAAGTGAAGGGACGCGGTGGCCCAGTGGCTAAGATGCTGAGCTTGTCGATCGAAAGGTCGAGAGTTCAGCAGTTCGAATCCCTAGTGTTGCGTAACGGGGTGAGCTCCTGTTACTTGTCCCAGCTGCTGCCAACTTAGCAGTTCGAAAGCACGTAAAAAATGCAAGTAGAAAAATAGGGACCACGTTTAACTGGGAAGGTAACAGCTTTCTATGTGCCTTTGACGTTTAGTCATGCTGGCCACATGACCACGGGGACGTCTTCAGACAGCGCTGGCTCTTCAGCTTTGAAAGGGAGATGAGCATCGCCCCCTAGAGTCGGGAATGACTAGGGGGGATGCAAGGGGAAGCTTTACCTTTTTAATGTAAGTGAGGAGACACAAAAGGAATGCAAAACCAAAAGATTTACAATTAGGCTGTGGGTCGATTTCTGTTGCTATTACAGTGTTTTTTGCTATAAAGTTGCAGACATGGCTTATTAGGAAATTTAGTTCTTTTGTTCACAAGCAGTGCCTTGGTGGTGTGATGTTTTGTTGTTCTTCCAACTGCTTCTCTGATTGTGCTTAGATCAAAGGAGATTGAGGCGGAGGGCTGCAATGGAGATGCAGCTTTCTTGGAAGTGCGAGTCCAACAGTTGGTGATAGAGTTCATATTGAACCATGTGGATGAGATCTTCAGTGACAACGTTTGTGTCAGGCCAAAGGATAATGAAGATAATGAAGGTAATTCCTTCTCAACTATTTTTGTTTATGTTAGCAATGACCATTTCCAAATGTACCTGACCTCTTTTGCCCAATAAACTTAGTTCTTCCCAGCACATACTGTATTTTCGGAGTATAAGATGCACCTTAGTTTTGGGGGAGGAAAATAAGAAAAAAGCTGATTGGCAGATGGATCAGCCTCCCGGAATAGCCCCAATCAGCTGTCCCCAGAAGTGAATTTTAGCAACAGGTTCCTTGGTTGTGAGCATTGTGCCTTACTTTTTTTTGCTTTTTTTCTGCCTTTGAAACTTCTGAAACTCCACTTCAGAAAAAACTTTTTTTCCTGCCTCTGAAAACCTCCGAAACAAAGCTTCAGAAAAAAAGCCTTTGAAGTTCTGTTTGGGGGTTTCTTTTCTGAAGCTTTGTTTCTGATGCTTTTTTCAGCCTCTGAAACCTCCGTTTGAGAAACTGAGTGGGGCTACATTCGGAGTATAAGACCCACCCACATTTTCACCCTCTTTTTTGAGGGAAAATGGTGCGTCTTATACTTCGAAAAATAGGGTAATCTATTTACATTACTTTTAGTATTTAGGTCTTCTGAAGTATTCAGAGCACCTGAACCCCAATTCTATTGAAAAAAGAAAACAGAAGAAGGAAATGAAGGGCATCTATATGATTCTTTTTTTAAAAAAAAAAATAGAATCTGAGCTTGAATTATTTTGATGTGACTAATATAAAGCCTGACTAATAGTGGACAAAAGTCTGCTATCTCAATCTGTACAGGTAAGTCCTCGATTTATGACCACAATTGAGCCCAAAATTTATGTTGCTAAGTGAGAAAGTTGTTATGTGAGTTTTGTCCTGTTTTATGACTTTCCTGGCCACATTTGTTAAGCAAATCACTGCAGTTGTTAAATTAGTAACACCATTGTTAAGTGAATCTGGCTTTCCCATTGATTTGTCAGAAGGTCACAAAAGGGAATCACATGATCCAGGGACACTGCAGCTATCATAAATATGAACCCGTTGTCAAGCATCTGAATGTCACTCACATGACCATGGGGGATATTGCAACAGTCATAAGCAGGGGTGAAATGCTCCCATTTGGATCTGGTAGCGATGGCGGCAGGTAGCAAAAATCCCTGCCCCCCCCCCGCCCATGCCCACTCAATTGCCCGGTCGCCCGCTTGCCGCTTCTTTTAAAAAATGCTTTTAAAAGGTAAAAAAAAGCTCTGAAGATCCCAGCTGAGCTGCCTGATTGAGAGAGCCTTTGTTTTTTTTACTTTTAAAAGCATTTTTTACAACCTATTTGGCCAAATAGGTTGTAAAAAAAAAATGCTTTTAAAAGGTAAAAAAAAAGGCTCTGACAATCACAGCTGAGCCGCGCGATCATCAGAGCCTTTTTAAAAAAACTTTTAAAAGCATTTTTCGGCCGAATAGGTTGTAAAAGAATGCTTTTAAAAGTAAAAAAAAAAATCACGTGCCACAGCTGATCAACCCCCCTCCCGCATGCTCTTCTACTTACCCCATGCCTCCTCTTGGTCTGCATGGTGCGCACTGCGCATGCGAGCATACAGCGTGCATGCGCAGCCAGCAAACCAGTAGTAAAGTGGTTCAGTTTTCACCACTGGTCATAAGTGTGAAAAATGGTCATTAGTCACTGTTTTCAATGTCGTTATAACTTCGAATGGTCACTAAATGAACTGTTGTAAATCGAGGACTACCTGTAATTTTTTTTTTTTTTGTCCTTTATGCTTTTTAAAATTGCTTTCAGAACCATTAGTAGGTTTGGGAAGATCCAGCCTTACCAAACCTTTAATTTATACACAGAAGGAATAAAGACATAAAATCCTCGGTTCGCATTGGAAAAAAAGTTGCAAAGTTTTTCATTCATTGAAGACTGAATTATGGGGATCTAGTAAGAAGTCTCAGCTTTCATTGTTCTCTTTTGTTGCTCATTCCTCTTGATCTTGCAACCTGATTACTTGGAAAAGCAAAAAAAGGGAGCATGGAAAACAGAATTAACAGCCAGGAGAACTTTGCCCTCATCATTGATCCAATGTATATTGTTACAGTAACTCATCACACCAAAAAGATATAGGAAAAGTCCTGAGATACTTGGTTTGAAATTTATCAGCTATCATGAATAGGCATTTTAATGGCTGGTGGGTCATTGAATATTAGACAATATTGCCATCACTAAAATGACTGTCATGCAGTTTCTCCATCCACAAATTGATGCTAAGGATGGGTACAGTATGGTCAGGCATAACATTTCCATTTAATAGAAGGCAGTGAAACTGGAGATGTTATTCCTGACATCACTAAAGTTTCCAATGTCCTCTAATCCCTGATTATTTTGTCTTGTTCCTGAGCATGTGGGCATATTTCCAAATAAACCACCAAGTTGCTATCTCCACACTTATTTTTGCTAAGATCAGAAACCTTCTTGGGGAAAAGAAATGATATTAGTAGCTGACACCTTGATTTTTACTGCGTCAGTTTCTGACACATCAAGTTTTGGATTAAAAGAGTATTAAAACAAAAACAAGTGAAGTATGGCAAGGAATATGTGCCAAGAAAGTTGTTTGCAAACACATTACTAGCCATGGATGTTATATATCCCATCCTTGTGCTGTTTCACTAGCTAGAACAGCCATCATGCTGAAAAATCAATTTAGCTGTTGTTCTGTCCCATAACAATCTTAAAAAAGAAAAAGGTGTAAATACTATGGGCTCATAAGTTGTAGCTGCCGAGTGGACAGGCTGCTTTAAATTGTTCCTTTCTGGCAGCTGTTAATGGCAAAACATTCAGTTAAGGGATTATTTTCACCACATATCATGAGTAGTACTCAATAAAAGTTGTAGACCTGTTTTAAGAATTTCCTAGGCTCCCTTATAAACAGTTCCATATGAATGGTGTACAACATGATAAAGGCTTTCAGAAGAGACCATTTTCATGGTTTCTATATAATAACGAGTCCCTTGGACTGTGAGTCCCTTAGACTGCAAGGTGATCAAACCGGTCAGTCCTAGAGGAGATCAACCCTGACTGCTCTTTAGAAGGCCAGGTCCTGAAGATGAAACTCAAATACTTTAGCCACCTAATGAGAAGGAAGGACTCACTGGAGAAGAGTCTAATGCTGGGAACGATTGAGGGCAAAAGAAGAAAGGGATGACAGAGAACGTGGTGTCTGGATGGAGTCACTGAAGCAGTAGGTGTGAGCTTAAATGGACTCCAGAGGATGGTAGAGGACAGGGAGGCCTGGAGGAAAGTTGTCCATGGGGTCGCAATGGGTTGGACACGACTTCGCAACTAACAACAAAATATAATAATGTTTAAAACAAGGTCAAAATATTTAAAATCAAATGCAAAGTCCATTATTCAAATTGTAAAAATAACACGATCATAAGACTCCCCCCACCCCCACCTTCCATTCAGGTATATTCTGCTTCACTTCTGTTTAATCTAGCTTTGTCCTCTTATTTTATTATAAAGTGTGTTTGGAGGTGAACTTTCTTTGCTATGGTTTTTCCAATAAATAAATAAAAACACAGCTAATTAGAAGAAATGCTAAAGTGCCAATTTTGAAGCTGGGAAAGCTGTCTTTAACCATCCGGACTTTTTTTTTTTTTAGTTCCAGGGCTGTAACTTCCTACTTCCTTCTAACAATAGCAGTCAGTGTTGAATAGGAAAAACAGCAACAATATTCAGAACAAATTTCCAAAATAATCTGGATGGGAGAGCAGTATTGCTTCATCTTCAAAACTAGAAAAAGACCTTAGTCTTCTCAAAGTTCAGCACAAATAAACACCGTCACTTTCAGAAGATGCATGCCAGCCAAGGCACTGTGGAGTGTGGCTGCTGACCAAGGGACTATTGGGATAGAGGGCAGGGTGCTGAATTGCATTACTGGATAAGAAGTGAATTTGTTCAACAATCACATTTGCAAACAATGTCACTGGGAAAGTTTATTCATTAAAGGCATTGCTTGAGATATCTATTGCTTTTCCATTTCTCTCTGGCATTCCCACCTTCCATTCCATACCCAAATTAGGCTAGATTCTAATGAGTTTTTCCTTCCATTTTTCAGAGAATAAACCTGTGATGAAGAGCCTAACTTTACCTTCCACTTCTCTGCCAATGAAGCTGGTGAGCTTGGAAGAAGCTCAGGCCCGAAGCCTCTCAGCCTGTCACCCTGCCCGCAAAGAGCGAAGAGAGAACAGTTTGCCAGAAATTGTTCCAGCCACAGGCTCCTTTTTCCATACCGTCCTTGATCTGCCAGATAGCAAGTAAGTACCCCTTGTTTTAGTACCTGAAAACTGAACACAAAAGATAAATCGGGCCTTGAAGGAGCCTATAAATTTAATAAATAGATCTACCATCGTCTAACTCAGAGTTCCCCAACGTTTCTGGCTTTGTGGACCGGTGGGGGAGGAAGAGGGGGTCATTCCACATGAGTGGCCGGCAAGGGCACACTCGCACAGCTCCTGCCACTCATGCAAATGAAGCCTACATGCTTGCCCACTGCTTGCAGAAGTGAGGATGTGCATACATGCGCTCAGCAGCTGTTTCTACCACCCAGTTGCAATCTCCTCATGGCCCACAGGTTGGGATCCCCTGGTCTAACCTGTCTTCTTTGGTGCTCTGAGGCATCTTGTTAGATGCAATTGGTGTGTAGCCAATTTGCACCAACTATAACAGTGTGCAGCCAAGCACTAGAAGAGAAACCATCAGCTATTTGATAGCTTCCATGAATAAGCTTAGTGCAATTTTGGGAGGAGGAACCATATTCCCCAGCACTGTATAGATACATCAAAACTTGAAATATGTGTTTAAAATATATAGACTCCCCCCCTCCCCCCGATTCCCCAACATTGCTGTGAGAAGGATAACATTAAATCCCTGGTCAGTGTCAGTACCTCCAGTATCAGGCAGACAGATGGATACAGGAATAGTTTTTCTGCTTTGCTTCATTTCAAGTGTTTGATCAGCAGGAGTGGAATGCAAGGCTTGAGGCACCTGTGATAAGACAGCCACCTACTGGTAACCTTCCCCAATTACATTTGATATAGCTAGCTTAATCTTCATTCTTTATTTGTGTAGCATATCCAATAATCTATATTTTACTCTTATGCACACTTGGATACCGTTGAAAGAGGACAAAAGCTGTTATGCAAGACTTATATTATCCAGCCACAATGGAATCGTCATCAGTACTTTTTAGATACTTAAATTGCTGTTGGCATATGGCATTTGATCATGTTCCCATAATATAAATGAGGGCTTGAGTAGCCACATCTTTGTACGAGTAATAAATTCTGAATCACATAAAGCATTAGCATGAATGGCAGACCGTATTGAACTCACAGGCCTGAGGTCAAATGTTATTTTACCCATAATTTCATTGGGTGGAGTTGGCCAGTCATAAAAGGCCATTTCCCACATCATACATAATATAACATATATAATTAGTGGGAAAGGGAAAGCAGTCATTTTCTGGGTCAAACTGTCTAGCCTCTTGGCTACTCTGATGGCAAGAGCCCTCTATGTTTCAAATCAAAGCCTTCACACCATCTGCTACCTGATCTTTTTTTAGCTGGAGATGCTGAAGCTTTCTTGGCTACAGCTGTGAAAAGTGGTAAAAGAAAGTCTTAGAGGAAATGAAGGCAAACAAAAAGGACACATTAAAAACATATTAATCTTAACTGTTAACCATTGCTACTTATTTACAGATCTTTGATTTTATCTTTCAGGAGAAAATTATCCACAAAGCCCAAGAAATGGAAGTCTATTTTTAATCTCGGCCGGTCAGGATCAGAAGCTAAAACTAAACTGAGCCGCAATGGAAGTGTGTTTGTTCGAGGACAAAAAATCTCGGGTAAAGATTCCCTATGGCCTTCAGTAATATAGCTTCTCTTTTTTCCCTTAGCTTGCCCTTGGCCAACAGGGGGGAAAAAAAACATCCCAGCACTTTGCAAAAGATCATTCATGCTAATAAAGTAACAAGGATTAAAAGCCAGTATGAACGATGCTTGACAACAGCATGGGGGAGACTGCATATTTAATCTATTGCATCATGCCAAGTATCACTTCAGTAGGACAATAACAGGCAGTCATATCCCAAAGCCTATGAAATTCTTGCTGTGAATACTGTCTATTATTTTACTGTGTTGAACATGCATTTCTGAATTCGCTGAATGCATGCTCAGGCAGAGGTCAAGTGTGCGTCTGCCAAGCTGTTACTAAGAATATGCCTATGCCAGTCATTTTATTAAGGAGTCCTGGAACATGTGTCCATCTCATCTTGTCTGGGGTTTCTGATGGGATAATCACTATCTTATTAAAGAAATGTACCGGCTCCCCTCCAACAATCCTTGTAGAACAAAGAAGATACAATTACTGTGCGTAGCTTTTAATTCTTGAAAAAATATATATTTATTACCAGATAAGTACCTTACATGAAGGATAGGTGTCCAAACAGTTGTCGCAATGAGGAAGGATGAAGAAATAATTCAGTCTTGATTAACAGCCCAACACTCTGCTTAGGGAGAAGATAGTGGGCTCCTTGAATAAAGAACAATGCACAATTATTCATTGTTTATGAATAAGCAACTCAGAAAATCCTTGCAAAAATCGTATCGCTATTTTGGCAGATAAACATATTGAATAAAACTTCCTTTTTTCACTGTGCTAAAAAAAAGTAAGAAAACATTGTACCTCTTATACCTTGCTAGCTGGTAAACCTTAGTTTTAGCTGTAAATTAAAGATAGAGCTGTATGTATTCTCAGGATATTAAATCTTTTTCTGCTTTGCAGCTGCACTTGTTAACAACATATTTCCAACATTTTACATCCTTTCCTTCTACAGAGAAAGCAACCATTCGACCAGCTAAAAGCATGGACTCACTTTGTTCACTTCCAGTAGAAGGTAAGATTTGGTCAGTGTGTATCAAATATGGAAAAGTCAAAAATTTGCTCATTTTTTGGGCATTTTTATAGCAGAAGCTGAATTTGTGTAATTTTGATGGACATACTGAATATCTGTTTAGAGTAAATCTGTTTGTGGGATTTATTGCATGCAAATGCAGTCCTGTGCATAGAATCAGTAGATTCAGTGGTGGGTTACCCACCAGTTCGGACCGGTTCGCAAGAACCGGTAGTAAAACTGGCAGGAGGCCCCACCCACCACCCCAGATGTTGTCATTACCGATCTACGCATGAGTGAAGTGTGCGCGCGTGTGTGATTCCATTTTGAACCGGTAGTAAAGGTAAGTACCACCCCTGAGTAGATTGTGAAAAACATCAAAAAGCACTTAGTACAGTCACTGGTCAGACAAAGTGCTGGAGTAGCCACTTGCCTTTCCCCATCATCTTCTTTTTCTAGATGAACTCATGATTCAAAAGTAAAAAATCCAAGATTTTCACTATGATATAAGCCAGCAGTGTGTGGCTATGTGCAGTGTGCAGCAGCAGTCAACAAATTAATACTATCCTTGGTTGTATAAACAGAGGCATAGAATCAAAATCACGTGAAGTATTAGTATGCTTTATAAAGCCTTAGTAAGGTTTTATAAAGATGGAATGCTGCATCCAGTTTTGATCACCACATTGCAAAAAAGATGTTGAGACTTTGGAAAAAATGCAAAGAAGAGCAACTAAGATGATTAAAGTCTTAGACTAAAGACTAAAACATATGAAGAACGGTTGCAGGATTTGGGTATAGATATTCTAGAGAAAAGAAGGTCTAGGAGGGACATAACAGCAGTATTCCAGTATTTGAGAAGTTGCCACAAAGAGGAGGGGGGTCAATCAAAGCACAAGAGGGCAGGACAAAAAACAATGGATGGAAACTAATCAAGGAAAGAAGCAACCTGGAATTAAGGAGAAACTTCCTAACAGTGAGGATGCCGTCAGAAGTTGTGGGTGCTTCATCACTGGAGGTTTTTAAGACAGGACAGTCACTTGTCTGAAATGGTATAGGATCTCCTGCTTGAGCAGGGGGTTGGACTAGAAGACCTCTAAGGTCCCCTCCAAGGTTCTATTCTGATTGACTATTGTTTATGCAAAACTTTAGTTGCTTGAATAAGAGGAGTTTCTTTTGGGATACTCTACTGAAAAATTTATGTAGTCTGGGAGATTTGTCAATTTTATGACAACTTTCCAGTCTGTGTTGTATCATCTAGCGGAGGCCATTTTCTCATTGTGGAATTTATGAGATGTACAGTATAGGAGTGGTCTCTCCATAGTAATCCATGCTTTGCAATCTCCTAGATTTCTGAGACACACTCTGTGTGGAGCTGCTGTTGAAGATGGTTTAGAATCTGTGCTACAGGCAGATACAAATTTGTAGACTTGTACAGTACTTGATGAATGCAAGGTCACTTAATATTAATTCTCAATGCACTAATTGGCTCTGATCAACCCCAGCTATAATATGTAAAGCTGCAAATGGTTTATGATTTGGTTAACCTCTAGGAATGCCTGTCCCTTTATTTTTGTTTGTGTAACATTAAACATGTTCTTAGAAATAGCCTGTTTTAGGGATCATCCAATTACCAGGGGAAGGCTGGATTCATAAGCATTCCAACCACAACTGTGTAACTTATTTTTCCTTAGAAATTAGATTGTTGCCAGTGTTGAGATTACTGCAATTTTGGGTCTTGGATGAAGTAATTCTTTTCTACCAAGCCTTTTGATTGTTTTTTTGATTAAAACAAAATTGGATCAATGTCAAAATAGGCTGTTTGATCACCGATATTGGATCTATTTTGATCAACATGGAAACATTTTTCCAAAGTGAAAGATTGGCTATAAGAAATTATATTTAAAATTATAATTACATCAGTTTTCTGCATCTAGAGACAAACCTTGCTGTTATTATTGCTACTTCAGAAAAATGGTTTGTGGCAAGCTGTTGCTGTGCTGCATATCACACTACTGTATTATCACTTATATCAACAAATACCTTAAGGTAATGGATGACTGCAGTTTATGGTGGTAAGGGAGAAGTGGGTGGAATAGTGAGAGAGTTTTTTTTATAATTCTTTATGGGGGAGGTCCACCTTAACAGACTCAGAGAGGGAGAGGGAGACAGAAAGAGTGAGGGAATGTTGCAAATATGGATCCAGAGAAAGGTTGAGGGGAAATATATACGCTTCTCTCATTTTCTTCCCTATTTCACCACCTCCCAAGCTTTATATTTCAGCCTGTCCATCTTTTAAAACAATTTTATGACTGCTGCTTTCGGCTTAGAAAAAAGATAGAGAATTGAGGAGAAAGTGGAAAATACCCCCTTTACCCCAAGTTTCTCTTTTACTGAATATACTTTTCCCTATCACCATTTCCAAATAGACGGAAGATGGAATCCATGACTGGGATACAAGAATACAGATTTGAGGATACCAAAGCAGGTCATGATGACTGCTTTTGAAATTATAATTGTAAAGGGGGGAGAGCTTAGAAATAAATACAGCCAGTGGTCTAACAGAAAATTGAATCATGCCTAGCAAGTATTGTGCAAGGAAAAAGCTCTCTTTAAGTCAGCCTGGTTTATCCCTACTCTCAATAGAGTATTTACCATAAGATTACAGCATTTGTGGGGTGACACAGGTGATAAACCACACATCATAATTCCACAATGCAAACTTTGTCCCTTACGTACTTGTGTTTGATACCTTGATGCAATTATGAAAGGCCAGAATTCGCATCATGCTGTTGCAACACATTCTTATCATTTTTTCCTCATCATGGTGTGTACCAGGTATTGACACAAAGGAAATTCTGAAAGTTAGCTTTTGCTGGGCCATTATAAAGATGGAACAGGCTTTTGAAGGAAATATTAATCACCCTGTGTGCTCTAGAAGAAATAAAAGATGCGATTTAAAAGTTCTATCTGGCCAAGTATTCAAACTAATCTAAGATAAATAACCATGGGGTATTGTACTCAGATAACATCCAGATCTCCATGCTAATCCCAAGGTTCTGCCATGTTCTGTGATATTAATTTTACTCCAAAGGAGCAAAATATTATCAATCTACCATTATTATTTTTCTTTTAATGCCCCTTTAGATTCTTCTTTCCCCTCTCCATAAATATGATTGAATCACAGCATCACTAGAATGTGTCTGTGACCCTTCAAAATTAAAAAAAACAACAACAAATTAATAAATAAACAATGTACAATTCAGGCCAAAAAAAGATTGACCATCTATGAGAGACCGGATTGGCAAAATTCATCTTTGTTTTCTTCCTTTCTTCCTTAGGAGAGGATGAAAAAGGTCATTTCAAGCGCACAATCACGACGGGAGGGTTTTTTGTTCCAATGATGAAACAACGACTGGGGGGACCTAGCAGCTCATTTGACCTCAACAAACAAGACACAGAGTGGGATCTCAAAGGTGCCATGAAAGGAGCAGAGGGAGGAGCAGAGGACAATGCAGAGAATCATATTCCACGGCCAACCCAAATGAAACCACTTCCTGAGCAACTGAAGGTATTCCGCGCCACTGAAGACCCTGAGAATGAGCAAACTTCCCCAAAGATGTGCCGTATGTTCTTTACTTCAAATGATGGGACATCCAATTTGGGATTCCATGGGACTCTATTCCCCCTGGAAGCCTCTCCCCGTCACCAACATAAAGCCTTGAATATCTCAGAGCCCTTTGCTGTCTCAGTTCCCCTTCGAGTATCTGCAGTCATCAGTATCAACAGTACACCTTGTCGGATGCCTGTCAGAGACAAAGCAGCTTTCTCTGGCCTTCAAGAATCTTCTTTTCTGGGAAAAGAAAGTGCTATCTCTTCAGTCCCTGAAGGTGACAACCATGACCAATTAGAGCATGTCACAGTCAAGGAAGAAAAGAAGCCTGAGTCCAAATCCATAACAGGTAAGCTCAGAATAAGGATGGATGATGTTCCAGGAGATGTTGAACAGCTTGTCTCTAGCCATGGCAAATGATCAAAAGAATGAGATTTGCAAATGTTGAGGACAACATTTGGAAACAGTTGTGCACTCTGACTTAGAAAAGGCTGTAGTAATTTGTTCACAAGAGACCTCCAACATGGGTAATAGAGAATATTTGAAATATTGAGAGCATGTCATGGATATTCTTGAAGAATATTTGACACATGTTTTTTCACAACATTGCTTTTTTTTTGGTGGGAACATGAAGTTGAAAATGCCAGTTTACCTGAATGCCTATTGTTCTCTCTGTCCATCCATTCTTTTTTTCTTTTTGCTAGTGAAGAAAGAAAACCTAGATATATTACAGTGATTTTTTAAAAAAAGTAAAACTAGCAAAAGAAAAGCTAATTAACAGGGGGAAAAAATCCTTATAATTATCAATAGCAGTTTAAAACGGATGTAATCCTTCAAGCTTGTTAAATCACAGAGCAACGCATTGTGACATCTTCTCATTTTTATAATATTTTTTCCCCAAAATAATAGATATCAATCTTATACCCTGTCTCTAGAGGTTCTTTAAAAGTGAGGATTTTTTATAAGAAAAGTGAAGAGTTTTTTCCCCTCATTACATAAAATAGTTAAAAATATCCTGTGGAACAGAGTGCCTTTAGGAACACATGGGTGACTCTGTATTGGAGATGCCAGAGCCTGAGGATGTTATGAAAACCTTGCCTGCAGTGATACAGCTGGAGTGATCTTTTTACTTAGTTATTAATGGAACAAAAGGGAAGTCTTAGTAGTGGGCTGAAAGTAACTGTCAAGTTATTACATGTACTTGGAAGAACATAAAGACAAAAGCAAGTTTTAGAAAGAATCAATTGAGGCAGGAAAGCACCTGGCAAGGAACGGCAGAAGCTTCCCTAATTGCTTTCCACTCAAAACCTCGTTTCATTAAAAATATAATAAAAAATCAGAGTACAGTATTTTATATGCCTATTTTATATACCCAGATTTCCTCTTAAATCAGATTACTGCATTATCCTGAACATCTAGAGCAGATGCTGGCAACTCACTGCCAGGGCATCTATTACATTCTTGTAATGGCTCCCAAAATAAATGAAATGATATTTTTGAATAATTATTAAATGGCCAGTTTTCAGAGATTCTGGTGTGAGATCTCATTAAATTCTAGACTTCTTTTCTAGATGTCACAAAAACCCAACATGAGGTTGCAAAGATAATGATCTCATGGAAATTTAGGAATTAAAAATATTTAGGCCATAACTGAAGTTCTTATGATAGCATTTACAGCTTGAAACAGTTGAAAACTCCATATATTTAGAGATGTTGGGATATGAAGGATCATGCTAAATCAAATACTCTATATGTATATGATTTAGATATGTAAAAGAATCCAGATTCAATATGTGCCACTTCCAGATAGAAATCTTTACATCTCTTTACATCTTTAATTTGCAATTTGTAGACTGCTCATATTAGGGGCATACTAGTATATACTATAGAGAAGAAACCATGTCTTATTACATATAATTATGCTACCAAACAGACGTAGAGGGCATTGTTCATCTCACAGCTATATAACAGTTCAGGCACAGTTGACTTCAAATTATCTGTCCTTAAGATAAACTCAAATTGAGAAGTGCATAATCCAAAAACAAAATTAAGATAGCCTCCATTCATAACCAGATTAGAAAATCATTTTCATTTTAAAAGCCAGACATATCTGTCTGTCTGTCTGTCTGTCTCCTTTTCAGTCTGTTTTTCTTTCTCTTTATTTGTCCAAAGAATAACCATGTTAAGCATAAATTGTACTTAATGCAACAGATTTCCATTTGCTCTTCTATGCAGATTCAGTTTGAAGAAAGCTGTCTGCTTAATTCACTAAATTCCATAAATGCATGGACATTCATTGTTGTAGACATGTTAAATACTGCTACCCTGTTTTCCCCAAAATAAGACATCCCCTGATAATAAATCCAATCGGCTTTTGAGTGCATGGCAATAAGGCCAAGCGCTTATTTAAGGGTTCAAAACAATTATAAGACAGGGTCTTATTTTCAGAGAAACAGTGAGTAGTAGGGTTTTTATTTTTATTTTTTTATTTTTTTTAAATAAGTTTTATTACACACATATTAAAACATTGGACACGGTGTAACCGTCCTGGCATTCTCTTTGCCATACATACTAAAATGAAAGATAAGTATCATATATACCTTAATATTTATATACAATTAGTCTGTTCAGTATTTACATATATAAAGACATCCTTCTTCTGTCTATATTACTTATACATTTGTTTTATCCATTATCATTCTATTGTAGTTACATATATAACTTTAATTCTACATTTTATGAATTCTAGTCAGTTCTTGTTTTTCGACTCTCTTTTCTGTTCCAACCATTGATAAAATTTATTCCATATCTCATGGTATTCTGACTCACCTTTATTTTTCAATTCCAAGGTTAATCTATCCATTTCCGCACATGTCAAAATTTTCTTTATCACTTCATCTTCTAGAGGAGTTTCCTTATTTTTCCAATTTTGGGCAAAACTCATTCTTGCTGCTGTTATAATACGTATTATTAAGTAAATTACCCCTTTAGTCTATACAGCAGAGGTCTTCAAACTTGGCAGCTTTAAGACTTGTGGATTTCAACTCCCAGAATTCTCCAGCCAGCTATGAAGTCCACAAGTCTTAAAGCTGCCAAGTTTGAAGACCTCTGCTATACAGTATAGTGGGTTTTTTATTATGGGCTTCAGAAATCTGAAATTTCACTAAGGGACAGCAATGAGAGATTTCTATAGCTTTCAGGACAGACAGGGCTGCCCAGAAGTTTTGAAGCTGCCATCTCAGTATGATGCCTTCCAGAAACACCAGAACTATTGTCATATGCAGTCAACTTCAGGTTGAGGAAGGTTGATTTAGAATAAGTTGACTTTTTCATTATACGGTTTCTTCTTTTTCTTTTGATTGTTTTGTTTTCTTCTTTAAGATTTGTATATCTGCTTTTTATTTGATTTGGTTATATAGATTCTACAACTGAGAAAATAGCCATTGTTAAGAAGCTGGGGTCTGTAAGTATTCCTCAAGTAACAGTCAATGCCCAGGATACAAAGAGTGAAGGCGACAACTGCAGCCAGCTTTTAAAAGATAAGCTCCCCCTGGAACAGAACCCACTGGTTATGATCCTTGCAAGCCAGCAGCAGACAGAGAAAGCAAGTCAAGACCAGTTTGGAATTAAGGACATGTCAGAGCAAATTTCCTGGCCACCGGAGCTATCAACAGATGAAACAGAAGATAAATCACATCTAAAGGAATTGGTAAGAAAAAGTATTGAAAGTCGTCTTTGCATCTTATGTTGTTTGACTGTTTTGCTATTTTATAAAAAAGACACCAACTATTCTTTCCTCAAGTACCATTCTTGATACACCTTGTAATATTGGACCTTTTTACACAGTGAATTTCAGATTTAAACATCTCCCAAACTGAATCAGGGTGATTTGGACATAATAAATATGTAAATCAAAGCGTAATTCATCCAAAGCCAATTAATTTGATACTGAACTATCTCTGGCTTTCACTAATGATTGTGAGTTTCATACATTTACAAACAGACTGCAATGTCTAAGAATCAATCCAAAGATAATCGAAAACATTTTCCACAAAAACCAAACAAAAGCAGTCATGTTATTCAGAAAATTTTCAGGTTGCATGGATAGGTACACCTCTATTCTACTTGTAACTTTCTTCACATTTGTCCACTAAAATATAGAAATGTGTTGGTTTGATTTTCATCTCAGAAAGATAAATAAAATTTCTGAATATGTCATTCAGTTCTACAAATAATTAAATTAGTCATTAGGGTGTCCTCCAAATTATTGGTTTTTTTTAACAAGAAATGTCTGAACCTTTTTTAAAAAAATTGAGCTGCCTTCCTCTTCTAATAAATGTCAACAAATTTTCATCCAAACAATTGAACATAAAAAAACCCCTACAGCTTGTTTATTTTTAATAATAGCCAAGAGGGGATTCAAATTTCAGATCTCAAATTCAATTCAGTCCCCAAAAAGAATTGAGGCATTCTAAATAAACTAGACTAAAGCAGGGATGAAATGCTCCCGGTTCAGACCGGATCACCTGATCCGGTAGCGATGGTGGTGGGTGGTTTGGAGAACCGGTAGCAAAAATCCCTGCCCACCCCCCCCATGCCCAGCTGAGCCGAGCGATCATCAGAGGCTTTTTTTTTAATTTTTAAAAGCATTTTTTCTACAACCTCTTCGGCCCGAAAAAATGCTTTTAAAAGTTAAAAAAAAAAAAGCCTCTGCTGATTGCGCAGCTCAGCTGGGATCATCAGAGGCTTTTAAAAGCATCTTTTCTACAGAGGTTGTAGAAAAAATGGTTTTAAAAGTTAAAAAAAAAGTTGGCCATGCCCATTCAGTCACATTACCCCAACCCCAAGCCATGCCCTCTGGTAGTAACAAATTTTACATTTCACCACTGGACTAAAGCTATTTGTGGGTGGGGGAAGGAATCCAAGTTCTTTTTCACTCATTACTTACTAATAATTCTCAGTCTTGCTTCCTTTGAGTCAAAAAGCCCCACAAATCTTGATTCCGTTATGCTGACTGCAGGTTCATTTTTAGGTTTAAGAAAGCTGCTAAATTGATTTTTAAAGCATTGAATGGCTTGAAAACAAATATTTTCAAGGAAGAGTCTTCCCCGATGTATCTGTCATCTTTCAAATTTGTCATCCAGGATTTTTGCCAAGATGAGTGAGCTTGGTTAGCTACAAAGGAGAGGCCTTTTCTCTCTCTCCAGGGAGGCACCCTTAATTTACTATCAAGGTCAAAACATTCCTCTTTATTAAAAATGTAAAAATAATGTAAAATAACTATAATGTATATAATATATGTATTTATATATTTATATCTAGTGTAAAATATCTATAACTTGCAGTAAGTAAGCCTTTTTAATATCTCTACAGTAGTACTTATTAGTTGTATCCTGTTTCCTAATTTTACATTTTTAATAACATCATAATCTGTCATGAAAATGCCAGTTAGCGAGTGGATCTGAAGTAAAATAAATAATTGAAAAATTTTATATTAATCAGCACTCATGGCTGATTTTCAGATACTTGCCCTGAATTCTTCAACCTATTGACCCCCTTCATGAAGCTTTAGATTGCTCATTGATCTCCAAACATGTATTATATGAACATAATAAATACTATTTTATCTGATAGCACTATGAATAATAACAGTAATACAAATGGACAGTCCCAACCATCCAGGAGGAGGGGGTTAATATTCACCACTTTGAGGAACCCTGGCCTAACAGTTTTGTTTTTGTTTTGACCCTTCAAGTCAACATTGACCCTTGGCAACTGCCTGGACAGTTCCCTCTAGTTTTCTTGGCAAGATTTCGGAAGTGATTTGCCATTGACTTCTTCCTAGGACTAAAAGAGAGTGATTGGGCCTTAGCTGGCTTTGTATACCTAATGCGGAATTAGAACTGATGGTGTCCCAACCTTGTGCCTTACCACTACACTGATCTGGCTGGTTGACCTAACAGTAGACTGAAATTATCCTGTTGGGAAGCTATGCTTGCAACCAATGGATCAACACTTGGTTGAACTGAATAAAAGTAGACACTTCACTTGTGGAAAAACACTAGAAAAAAAAATATGATGATGGCAATCAATAATAATAATAATCATAATAACAACAACAACAACAACAACACAACAACAACAACCTGATCAGTGGGTGCAGCAAAATTTCACAAACTGACTACCTACAATGCCATGACCGCGTTGCTAAGATCATTCACTGGAAATTGTGCCAGTACAATTTTGAGTACAGCAAAAACCACTGGGAACATCAGGTTGAGAAAGTTTTAGAGACTGAGAAACTCAAGATCTTGTGGGACTTTAGGATTCAGACTGACAGGCACTTGGTCCACAACGCACCTGACATAACAATAGTTGAAAAGAAAAAAGTATGGTTCATTGACATTGCAATACCTGGTGATGCACGGATTGAAGATAAGCAGCAAGAAAAAAATCACAAAGTACCGGGACTTGCAAATTGAAGTTGAGCGACTGTGGAAAAAGAAATCGTGTGTTGTCCCAATTGTAATTGGAGCCCTTGGAGCAATACCCAAAGGGCTACCCCGCTATTTAGAAATTCTAAATTTACTGGACGTGAACATTTTGACTCTACAAAAAACCACCTTACTCAGAACAGCTTACATCCTCCGACGATACCTTAACAGTTCCTAGGTCCTTGGTTAGGACTCGAGCTGCTGAGCTATTAACCAGCCTCAAAGGCTGTGAATCTCACTAAAGATTAACCAATAATAACAATAATAATAACAACAACAACAACTTTATTGTCATTGTACATGTATACACAGTATACCCATACAACGAAATTCACTTAACACCCAAAGACCAGGTCCAAAACACATAACATCCCCGAACACATTCCCACCCACCACAATTTCCCACCCCTAAACCACCCAAACAACCACACAAGAGATGAAGTAATACTGTCCAACATCTCACTGATGGTGGCCCTTTAGTTCATTATTGAGTGCAATTATAGCTCTGGGATAACGTGTGGTCCAAGTTTTAATTGTTCTGTATCTTCTACCAGAAGGGAACAGTCCAAAAAGATTGTAAGCAGGATGGGAAGAGTCTCCGAGAATGTTATGCAACTTTCTCAAACAGCGAGATTCAAAGATGTCGTCCAGGGCTGCAATATAAGCAGTTTTAAAGGGGAATAGCTAATTCATGGAGCTATCAGTAACTATCTGTAATTTCTACTTTTGTTGGCAGTATATTGTTTTTAGATACTCTTAAAACACTCAGCTGCTAGAGAGCTACAGTTGAAAATGTTTGTTTTCCTGCTGTCATATCTATGAGCTTCCTGGATGCATCAATTAGGTTACTTGTGACACAGAATGCTGGAATAAAAAGATCTTTTGACTTGTTCAAAAAAGTCTCATTTATATGTTCTTAGCCTATTTCTACTTTCATACTTATCAAAGTTAGAACTATGTTAGGGTGTCACATTTTATTAACTTTTGGCATTATAATTGTCAAGCTTGATCTTCACATTGACTTTAAGGGAGGGGCCATTATGAAGTTTCCAATGATATAAATCCAAATCCACTGAAAATATTATAGTTGATTGAAATTATTACTTGCTGATTTATTCCCACTGTATCATAGTTTTCAAATAGTGCCTCATTTTTAACATTTGGTTTCCAACAAAGTAGGATGGACAAATAACAAGATTTCTGTCTTCAATGGAGGAAATTTTCATTTTATTATTTAATTATTAATTAATAAAATTTGAATCTATATGGTTTTTAATGGAAAAGGATAATAGAAGAACTTTTCATTCTTTCAATAGAATATATGCTTAGCTGTTATTCTAAAACTTTTATGTAGTTGTTTTTTAAAAGGGCCACAACTTATAAAAAGGAGTTATGTGATCTAGATGGTTTCTCTTTTTCAGGTGGTTGATGATCATTCCAACATTGTGATGAAACCACTGTGGCCAGATATTCAACAAGAGCTGAAAATTGTTGAGTCTGAGGAGGAGTTTTTGTGTACTGGAAGTGATCTAAAGACAGACGAGCAACAACAACAACGGGAGTTTAAACCAAGTCTTACCTCTGTTGCATCTTCAGAAGCAAAGAGTTTTGTGTGTAGTTCTCTTCTGCTACCAACTCCCTCCAAAGAGGAAAACCTAATTGGAGGTCCATTGCCTATATCTGACATTCTTTCCAAAGAATCACAAGAGGTACAACTTTGCAACTCTGAGCCATTCAGAAAGCAGAGTAGTATTCCCTTCACCTCAGTGAAGCTGCAAAATATTCCATGCTCAAAAAATTGCCCACAAGATGATAACACAAAAAATGATCTCCCATCTCAATCCTCAGATTGGAAGTTTCCATCAGAACTAAAAGAAAACACAGCTTTTTCAACAGACAAGTCATCATATTCCAAAGAAAATAATTTAGATCAGCTAGAATGTGAAAGTAAGGATTGGCTTATTCAAAGAGAGAAAAAAGTTGAAACAGCAACCCAGTTCAAAAAAAGCAGTGACACACATTCAGAGAGAGATCTAGCCAATTCAAAGATTCAATGTAGAGCTGAAGTCCCATGGGTCAAAAAGGGCAGAATGAATGATCAAAACTCTGCTAATCAACAGGAGGAAGATACATGGAGTGACCATGTCCATGGTTTAGAATTGCTAGAGCCATGGGAAGATCATCAGTGGGTCACCAGTCCCCTTCATTCTCCTACCTTGAAAGAAACTCAAGGGAAGGCACTTCAGGAGTTTCAGCCACAGAACCAAGGAATGGCCCAAAGCCATTTCAAGAAACCATGTTTCAGTCGTAGCTTTTCTTTAGATAGTAAAGATTTTTTGAAAGCTCATTGGGCTATAGAAATACCTTTAACTAATGCACACGAGGAACAGCTTTGTGGTGACCTAGAACAAGGAATGAAGGAATATTCACCAGGACTGTGGAAAGAAAGTTTTCAGAAAGCTGAAGCCTGGCTGAATTGTTTAAAGGAAACTTCAAACTCACATGAAACAAACACAAAATATCTAAGTCATAAAGCAGGCTTTGCAGCCACAGAGTTGCCTTCTAGTCTTGAAGGATTGCCTAGTGTTGCCTGCAAAGCATTGGTTAAGAAGGAAGTGCCTAAAGATGACAAAAATCAAGAAAACATGAAGCTAGATTTGCCTTTGTCACAATTCAATACTGAGGTCAATTTATTAAATTCAAACTGCACAGGAAAGCAGGCAACTAATATTCAACGGAATGACAGACCGGGAGTTCCTGTTATGAAAGGACCATGTTGTACTAAAGAGCTGCAGATCAATAAAGGTGAAGACATTCCATGTAAAGGAAAGCCAAGGCCCTCTTCTCTCAACCTGGATTCTGTCCTTCCACTCGCCAGCCATTTTAATTTTGACAACTTGTCTTTCCCCTCTTCACCCAGGCACTTTCTCTGCGGGCAGAAAGATGCTAAGTCTAGTGATTCTGCACCATCCCTTCCTGTTGCTTGTCCAAGTGAAAATAAAACTGACCTTTGGGGGTCACACTTTGATCCTCAAGACTTAGACTTGGAATACATAATGATGGCTCACGCTACCACTGGTCGTCGTAATTCTGCCCCTGTAAGTGTTTCAGCAGTAAGAACATCTTTCATGGTTAAGATGTGTCAGGCTCGAGCTGTCCCAGTAATTCCACCAAAGATTCAATATACCCAAGTTCCCCAGCCTTTGCAGGCACAAAACCCCAACTGCAGAATCCCAGTGGCATCAGAGAATAAACAAACAGAAGTCAAGAAAAGTCTAATCAAGCCCATTCAAAATGCTCAGGGTCAGCTGCAACTCCCAAAGAGTCCACCACTTGATGGGATGATGGGAAAAGAAAACAACAGTACACTCATTTTGGATTCAGCTGCAACTAGAAAAGCCGAACCACCTTTTCCCAATCATAATACTACTCAGGATGCACCAGTTCTTCGGCGAAAGAGAACCTCTGAAGGAGAAACTACTGGAGATACTCCACAGTCCTCAAAAATGGAGAGGCCATCTGGGGTTTCGAAGCCTTCTTACAGATCTAGACCAGGAAGACCTCAGAGCCTTATTCTATTTAGTCCTCCCTTTCCTATCATGGACCATCCCTCTTCTGCAGACTCTAGAGTATTGTTATCTCCCATAAGAAGCCCTACACAGACCCCTTCTCCAAGTCCAATTTTGAATGATTTATTAGGGGCAGCCCCAGAGGGTGTCACTCTTCGTAACAAGATGACTATTCCAAAGAATGGCCAAAGACTAGAGACATCTACAAGTTGCTTTTACCAACCACAGAGGAGGTCTGTAATTCTGGATGGAAGAAGCGGGCGTCAGATAGAATAATGTCTTTCAATTTCTCTTCCCTGGTGGATGAGATATACTGGTAACACTGAGAACTATGAATATGATGGTATTATTGCTAAATGCTTATTACTAAAACAGTAATTGTTGATTTCAACAATCCTTAATTTTATATTTTGTCACATTTAATAGATGAAATTATCCCATAGGTGAAAGCAACATTTTACTGCAAGGAAAGGCAGAGGTAAAAGTTGTCTAGAAATGTATTCCTTTATAAGACACTCTCATGCTTCTGCTTCCCACCAACAGACACGAATCATCTCAGCTAATGTTCCTTTCCATGATCTTGCTTATTGCCTTCCTATAATGTTGAAATGCTAAGTATTGGGGATTCCAGTCCTGGTATGTATTAAGAACAGCAGACCTGCTCCATGCATCTATATTCAGACCTACAAGGAGCATTGTCAAAAGAATAATGTGCACGCTGGGCACTCAAATAAGTGGTGAGAGAGGAATGCTGATGTGTTTGAGTGAAACCTATTTTGATAAGCTATTATTATTAAAAACACCAATTATATCTTACACTTCTCTAAATGGTTGATGGACTTTAATACTGATTATAGAAGATTGTACAAATAGTCATACAGTATGAAATATCTGCTCTGTCAATGATTAGAAGATTTAGTGATGTAATAGAAGGGATTGAACCCACTCCGGATTATTTTCATCCTCCTCCAAAAGCACTAATTTGCTATCTCTGTAGCGGTGTCACTTTTGGTAGCTGCTAAATGGAGCGATAGGGCAGTCATAATAAACTTCAATCCATTTATCAGAACATTATAGTGTACTGATGTTTATTGAAGACATTATAATATGATTTTCTCTACACCAGCCCCAGTGTGGCTGCTTTGCAAATGAGATTGAATTTAAGTTGCTACCCAACTTGCATCAATAATTGGCACAAAGTAAATTTCAATTAGCAAATAAATTCCAGCCCAAATATCTGGTTGCAAGTTATTAAATCAGAATTGGGAGTCCAAAGATCTATCAAGAATGACTTACATGTGTTAGATTTTGTTTTCTCATTGACTCTCAATATCATAGTCCAGAACCACATATTCACAAAAAAACAGTTGAACTAGAGCTAGGATAGAAAATATGTAGACAAGTGACTTTGTTGGGAAAATATGTGACAAGTAACTTTGGCATACATATAAGATATTGAAATGACGTATATTGTAATTTCACTAATACTTATTTTGATACATGTACTTCTACCTAGAATTCCAACTTTGATTTTGAGAATAAGTTGCTTCACATAACAAAATGAGCACCTCTTACTTTTGAAGTCTATTATAAATCCCGGTTTCCTTTTTTCTACTTTTCAATAAAATTTATGTAAGGCAATTTGAAATAATAGCAAAAGAGGATTGGCAGTTCTAAAACATTGTGGTTCTCTCTTTATAACAGAGTAATGGGTGACACTGTCTTTATTTGCACATTGTTATTAACAAAACAAACAACAAAAAACCCTGATTTTAATTGAAGAGAATTTAATTGAAGAGAAATTCAGCTATTTAATTGAAAAGAAATTCAGCTAAAGACAATTGGAATGGATTTTTAAGATTTTTAAGATTCATTTTGAGAATAAATCAGTTTCTCCATTTTTGGAAACATAGAATAAGAGGTTCTGCTTTTTGCATCCTTAGATTTGGTCAAGGCTTGGTATGCTGCTTATAAGAGTTGGCAAAGAAGGGAAAGAAAAAAACAGTGTCCTCCCACCCTCCCCATCCTATAATGCCCAAGGACAGAAGGAAGGACACTGTGGGCTGTCATTTTTGGTGGAAGAAAGAATAGGTTAATGGAGTGAAGCAGAGTGCTGAATTAGAAGGAATGTTGTTAGTACATTATACCATTTCTGGGATAACAAAAATAATTTACTTGCTCATTGAATGGTATCTAGAGAGAAAGATAGATTTACCTGTGGGATGGTTTGTTCTTTTGTGTAAGTAATGCCTAGGATTTGCTTTAAGCAAGGTATGTTGACTATTTTCCTAGTGACAGATATATTTTCTAAAAGTGTGCTATAGAAATATATTAAAACACAGTATAATTAAGACCTAAGAAGCTGTCTCTAAATAGCAGTGCATCTTGGACAAAGCCAGTGTTTAGAAATTAGGCTTTGTTGCAAACTCCTCTTGTGTAGGTTTCCCACATTTTTGATAGAGAAAGATCATCAATTGCTGTGGAGTCTGTCCTTCCTGATCTTTTTTCCTGCAATTGTTCTTCACATCAACACAGGACTTTATCAACTATTGCTAAGCTTATCTGAAATAGATCTCACTCAAAAAAAGTAAATCTTCCAATTATTTCATGGCAATGGTCCCCGGGGTGATGGTGGTGAAGAATTGTTTTATGAGATGAGAGATATGATTAAGAAGCTAGGAAAATGCCTGTACATCATTTTGCATCCTTAGCATTGTTTTGCTTCAATTTCTTGATAGTTTCAATTCTTGGGTGCAAACACACGCACACACACAATTTCAGTTGAGATTGGGAAAATCATGGGAAAATCATTAAAATGGATAGATTCTTCTTCCATTGTGTTCTAAAAAAAAGGCCTAATTTTGGGTGGGAGGGTTGGAGGTGGAGGAAAAGGTGAGGGCTGCACTTGGTTTTTCAGTGGCATGCTGAGAACAACACTCCAAAAGTTAGACCAAGGATAAAATAAAATAAAATTGATTTCATTTCTTTCAAAAGTGAATTCAGGTAATGGTTTCTTTTTACATGTATTAAATATAAAAATGCTCCCATGCATTTTTTTTTAGTTTTTTCCCTTTTTCATAATAATAATTACAATTTGTCAGCAACTTTTGAAGGGACACATCCACTGTAGTCAAAGCATTCAAGGTCCCTCTATGGCTGTAAAGTCTCAAGCTGTGCATCTTTCCTGTATATGAAAAATGCTGTATGCCATGTTAAATTGCTTATAACATTTTAACTGTAAGTCTTTAAGATACAAGTATACTTTTTTCAAGATTTGTTTCTGATAATTTTATTAAAATAAAACAAATTTAAGTTGAGGATAAATCCCTGTTCCTTCCTGCCCCTTCCCCTCCCTGAAGAAATTATGAATCAGTTTTTCCTATTGCTTTCAATTTGAGAGGGGGAAGCCAAGTCCATTAATGTGAGCTTTGTATGAATGCGTTGAATTTCATTTAATCACCATGATGAGTATTTGTTTTCATGGAGTGCTGCTCCTCTATTTTAGTGCTTACATCACGTGGAAATTTTGCCAAGTCTCAACCATGAGATTAAACTGGAGTTTTTATAAAAACATATTTGTGTCTTAGTGTTGTTTTGACAATGTACATAGTTACTGTGCTCTTGATGAGAACAAAAGATATTTACTTTTGACATTTCTATTACGGTCATCCTTACTTGATAAGCTAAATCAGGGATGGAAAACCTGTGAACTTTCCAGATGCTTTCCAGATGCTTTTTGAAATTCAGTTTCCAAAAGGCCCAGTTAATACCAAGTTCTGAGAAATATTGGTGAGGAATCTTTCAGCAATATGAAGGGCTATAATTTCTCCATCTTTGAATAGCCCCAAGCATTAAGGATGCTCGTCAGCATCACAGGTGTTATTATGCAAGATCATTGACAACCGATCCTTTAAAGAAATTGAGAGAATGTACATTGTTATTTCAATCCCTACTCACGTTCACTCATGGCTTAGTCATTTCCCATCTTGACTATTGCAATGCGCTCTACATGGGGCTGCCCTTGAAGAGAATCTGGAAGCTCCAGTTGGTGCAAAATGCAGCAACCCGTATGGTTTTGCTCAGACCCCGGTGTGCACATATATCATCTCTCCTGCGGGAGCTGCATTGGCTGCCGATTTGCTTCCTGGTGCAATTCAAGGTACTGGTTGTCACCTTTAAAGCCCTTCATGGCTTGGGAGCGGGGAGGCAGGGAACGTTGCGGATCCCATCCCTGAGGGAGATACACCTGGCGGGACCCAGAAGAAGGGCCTTCTCCGCGGTGGCTCCCTCTCTCTGGAACATCATTCCCCCAGAGATTAGAATGGCCCCACCCTAATTCTCTTCTGGAAGACACTGAAGACCTGGTTCTGCCAGCGGGCCTGGGGAACCCAGAGCGGGATGGAGCCCATTAAATGGCTTGTGTGATCAGCTGTTGCTGGGGCGGGAGGTAGGGGTCAGGGGTGATTTTATTATATTAATTTATTTGATTTTTTATGAGTTTTAGTGTTTTTTAAATGTGGTTTTTTATATTTTATAAGCCACCTTGAGTCACCATAGGCGAATAGGCAGCAATATAAATTAAATAAATAAATAGATAGATAGATAGATAGATAGATAGATAGATAGATAGATAGATAGATAGATAGATAGATAGATAGATAGATAGATAAATAAATAAATTCTCATCTAAAAAATAATCTTTGGAAGTTGACTGAACTACTCCATGTGGGTGGCTCATCTACCTGTGGGAAGCAGTCAGAATATTAGCGATCACTCTGCATCCTTTGTAACTAGTCCAAAAGTTACAGACTTAAAATTCTTGCTGAACTTCAGTCTTTTTCATATCTAGTAGAAGAAAATCCAATCTTCTGTGTTTCCAAAGCAACTTGAATAAATCTAACATTACATTTGGTAGCAGCTGGATCTCATATTCTCTTACAAAGCATCTATCTTGACTACTGTCACCACAAGCTCATAACGTGAAGGGATTTAATTCTCTTTCTCTCTCTCCTCCAGCTGCTTCCTTTTCATTTTTCAAAATTTAAATGCATTAATTGGGATCCTGTTCGTGTCTTTAGATACATTAAAATGAAAGGCCATTTGCATGCATTTTGACTGATATGCAACAGAACTTAGAATGCTTAGTCTGATACTTTACTTTTAGTAATATATTTAGCATGGCTATATAATTAGGGAGTAATCTGGTTTGTGCTGGAATCAGATCTGGGCAATCTGCTTGTTCCCTGGATTGGATAGGATTCATGGCTTCTTCCTTATTCATGGATATACACACACAAAAAAATACCTGATCTGGGAAATTGGAACTTTCACTGTTATACTGAAGAAAAAATAATAGTATCAGCTACACATTTTCTACTTCTTTGAGAAGATTGGCAATGTATCATTTAATATTTTAAGGGGAGGTGAAAAATTCCAATGAAAAGTCAGCAGTGCAGAGTTGCAAGGAGTGGATTTGGGTGTTTTTCCGCTAGGTCTTTTGGAGGAAATTGGGAATGGGTCAGGGGTGAAATCCAAATTTTTTCCCTACTGGTTCTATGGGTGTGGCTTGTGGGTGTGGCTTGGCTTGGTGGGTGTGGCAGGGGAAGGATACTGCAAAATCTCCATTCCCACCCCACTCCAGGGGAAGCATACTGCAAAATCTCCATTCCCACCCCACTCTTGGGCCAGCCAGAGGTGGTGTTTGCCAGTTCTCCGAATTGTTCAAAATTTCCGCTACCAGTTCTGCAGAACCTGTCAGAACCTGCTGGATTTCACCCCTGGAATGGGTCTTTATTTCTATAATATTGTTAACTGTGAGGGCAAACTTATCATTTTCATGTGTTTTCTGTGGCAGATATTTAGCAATACCGGTAGTCCTCAATTTATGACCGCAACTGAACCCCAAATTTCTGTTGCTACGCAAGACAGTTTTTAAGTGAGTTTTGCTCCATTTTATCACCTTTCTTGCCACAGTTGTTAAATGAATCTGGCTTTCCCTATTGACTTTGCTTGTCAGAAGGTCACAAAAGATGATCACATGACCCCGGGACACTGTAACCATCATAAATACATGCCAGCTGCCAAGCGTTCAAATTATGATCACATGATGATGCAGAGGCTGCAACGGATGTAAATGTGAAAAACAGTCATAAGTCACTTTTTTTTCAGTGCCGTTGTAACTTTGAACTATCACTAAATGAATGGTTCTATGTTCAGGGCTATCTGTAGTAGCAAAAAGGTCTATTCTTCTTTAATACAAATACTGTATAAAATGGACAAAGCTTCTCCTTTAATACATTGGAAACCTAGTAGGACATGTACAAAATAAGTGCTCAGGACTATATTCTTGCTCTTTCTAAAATAGTTTATAGTATTACAATATTCAGAACAAATTTTAAGTTACAGTATTTTTTGGAGTATAAGACGGATCTTTCCCCCCCTAAAAGGGAGTGAAAATTTAAGTGCATCTTATACACCAAATGTAGCCCCGCCCACCCACTGGCCCCCACCCTTTGGCCTCTGCCTCCCAGCAGTTTACCTCCTTGCAGCAAGCAGCAAGAAGAAACAGCTTGTTTCAGCTTCAGCACAGCCTAATTAGCACAAGTTGATTGGATTGGCCTCCCAACTCTCAGCTGTTTTGCTCTCAGCTATTTTGCATGGGCCTCTGCTGCTTGCTGCAAGAAAGTAAATTGCTGGGAGCAGATTTTTTTTCTTGTTCTAATCAAGCTATGCTGAAAACAAAAATGAAAGTAAAGCAGGCTATTTGCTGTTTGCTGCAATGAGGCAAAATTGCTGGGAGGCAGAGGCAGATTTCTTTTTCTTGTTTTCCTCATCAAAAAAGGTAAGTGCGTCTTATAGCCCGGAGCATCTTATACTTCGAAAAATACGGTATATCATTTAAAAAGAGCAAAATCTGGTTTATTACAGGTAGTCGTTGATTAATAACCATTGCTTAGCAATCATTCAAAGTATTGGATGATTTCTTTTTCTTCAAAGAGTTGATTCAAAAAAGAACCACATTTTTGGTCCCTAATCCATAGCCATACACGTACTGTTTTTTTCGATTGAATGTCAGTGATGCTGGCAGAGGAAAGAAATGCATCATATCCTTTTAGCTTTAGTGAAAGTGCAATCCAGAAATATTTAATTTTAGCAATAGGAAGATACGTTAGCACTTCAAAGCAAATACAGCAGCTGCTTAATAATAAACCAAGGGATAAAAGACAGAACCGGGGATAAAATAACATAGCTGAAGTTTTCTGGAAAAGGAGCATTTTCTGAAAGGCAAAAGCTGAAGCAAAGAAACAAAAAACAGATGTTGAACTCATTTTCCACTGCTGAAAGAACTTGGGGGAAAAAAACTTGTTTTAAAAAAGGAAAGTTAATCTCTGTCTCAGCAAATACAACGTTCGTTTTATTCTACATTTCATTACCGTTACCTTAGGCAACTGAAGTTCACCAAATTTTGCCCAAAGAAAGATGATCAAAAAGGAATCCTATGTCTCTCAATGTGTCCTGGAGTATCTACAGCCTTAAACCACTTGTTAAAGAAGAGCCTTGTTTAACTATTACAGAAGGAATATTCTTTTGGTAAGAACTATGCAACTCCAACATGACTGGAAAGACTTAGGTCATATTTCGATGGGGCGGGAGTGTTGCTGAAAGCACTTGAAGAGAGGCACTTGAAAAAGCATTTGTTCAGATACTCATGAAGAACATTAGAGGGATCACACCCATGCTTATAGCCTCCTATCTATATTCTTGCCATAAGCAGTCTTTAGAGACTTAAGAATATTTAGAATTTGGAGAATGAATGCACTCACAAAATGGCTGTGATATTCCTAGAAACAATGTGAAAGCAGAGGCAGGATTTTTGTTTTTTTTGTGTGTGTGTTTTTGCTTTCAATACGGAAGCTATTATTTTTATTTAAAAACATTAAACATCAGGAGAGCTGGGCGATTGTAAAGAATTCATTATAATTCCTTTATAAATACTATATATATGCATGGCTAAGTCTACTCTAGAATTTTAAACATAAGATGAAAAATGTATCATCCATGGATAAAATGACCCTATTTTTTTAATTTGTACAATTGGCTTATTCAAGGATGGGGCATTTTTCATGGTATATTCTTTAAAAATTCAGACGTTGGTTTACTTATAGATGGACTCATCATTGAGTACACCATATGCCACAAGATGGGCAGTGTGTGTATGTGTGTGTTTATGTATAAAGCATTACTGTATATACTTATGGAACAACTAAACAATACAAACTAAATGTGTATTTTGGAACCTGCAATTTTTGATTTATCTGTGAATATATACAATACTAACTGATTCTTACCACTTTCTTTGGAAAAAATCAGTGACTATTTTAAAGGGAGAAGCTGTTTAAGTCACAGACGTCAATTGATGCAGTAATACAAATTAAAGCAACCCTTATTAAATGGTTGTCCAGTCCCTACTTCAACATATCCAATGTAGGATAAACTACAATGTTTCCTTGTTATTGGTGTCACTGTCAAATCAAACCAAAACAAATCAAACTCCCCTTAGGTATTTAAAAAAACAACATCTCTTCCAATTATTATCCCCCCTCCTATTTTGCATTTTAAAGGATAAATACAATAATGATATTCAGTCTCTTCTCAACAGAACTTGTTTTTCCCATCTCCTGCTCTTTTTCATTGCTCTCCCTAAACTGCCCCAGGCTGAAGACTTCTTAAAGTGTGGGAGTACTGATACTATGTTGTGAATCCAAAGGAATTTGTTTCTCATCAGACTAAGTTGGTAAGTAGTAACTCTCTGGAGCATTAGTAGCAACACCTAAGTGTATGGAATAATACTTAGCTACTTACCCAGCAGGTATGCTGCCTGTTTAACCACTGAAGAAATGTTGAATAGCCCTAAGAAAACAGCTACTGCTTATGAAAAATTGGGTGATGGTGAGAAGAACAGTCCACATACAGGAAGTTCTTAATTTTGGTTGTTTTATTGAAAATTAACACATCTTCTTTGTGCCTTCTAGAGTCTGTCTGGAGTAACCCTCTGAATAATCAATGTAATGGTAAATACAGAAAAAAACCAATAAACTCTTTAATATATTATAGAAGTTTCCCTTTCAGCAAATTCATTCATGGGCAATTTGAGAGCACCTTGCCCTCTAAACTTTACCCCACTTTATCACATTTGCATTATGGAAGAAACTACATGTGAAAAATATTGTTGTGCATTCTATCCCTCAGCAAAATCTTCATTTGGGTCATTGGGAAACAAAATGAAAGGCTTAAAGCTATGATATTCTATTTACAAATTCAAATGTTATTTCATGAAATTATAGGTAAAAGCGGTTTAATGTTGATATATTGAAATCAAAATTATACTTAAGTATCCTGGTCCTACAGTTAAAGAATCCCTTATAAAATATGATTACTGGTTTGTTTTTAAATGAAGACACAGATTTTATTCAATAACTGAAGTTTCCCACTAACTTTTAAAAAAAAATCATTCATTCCAGTTCTTCAGCTTAGGAAAGCATAAGAGCAATCACTATAATGTACAATCAATATACTTGGGTTACATGTGAGACAAAATTATATTCTCTTAACCATCTATATTTTATTTAAAAAACACAGTTTATTAATAAAGATTTGAACAGGAATAAAATATACAGAAAATGTATTGCTTTTTGGGGCTTACATTTCATGGAAAATCATTTGCATCTTACAATTCTCTGTACAAGGCATACACTATCACAACAAAGTTTACAGTTTGATATGTTAACAAAAGATGGATTGTGTAATTGGTTGGTCATCTATATATTAGACATTCATATTAAAATAATAAACATGATCTCATTGTGAATTCTAATAAAATATATTTAATTCAAGATCCAAGGAAAATGTTAGGGTATCTCTTGCATTCAATGTGTTTTCAAGTATAATTGTTCTTCTATGTTTGGTTCTTTTAAGAAGTCATTCTCTCTTGTAAATAACTTAGGAATCATATCAAACATTGGTAAATTGAGGATTGTATGTGTATACCAGTAATCAGAGGTAGCCAAAAAATACTGCAAAAAACCCTAGATAATCACTCCAAACAACTGGTTCAATACTTTCTTATTTTCTTAAAATAGCCATTTCCAATAAAAGAGAATAAATGTAGCTCAGGCTTGAACTGGTGTTGTCTGGGCAAGTTGCTTGCTTGCTGTTGGTTCATTAGCCAAATAGGTAACACCATAAGTTTATATATACCGTAGTAGCTTGCCCTGCCAGTGTTGGTAGGGCTGTGGTCTTCTCCTTGAGTGAAGGAGCAGATGGTTTTCTGCTTCATTGTTTGTCTGGTATTAATCCCTGTTTATTGGGTTTTGGATGCTAGAGATGATGTGTTCTGGTCTTTTCGTTTCCTTCTTAGTTTTTTAATTGTCTCTTTTGAATGATATATAAAAGTAGCTTATCTCTATGTATCTAATCAAGGAACTAATAGAGTAACTACCAAAGAAAAAAACACAGTTTCACTAATACAGTCAGGGCAAGATGCTGTATGTAAACAGGGAGCAAATCCAACAGTCATTGGCACAGATGATGTTACCTGGTGGAGTAATTGGCAAACAAACAAACAAACAAGAGAGCACCGGGGACTCTACCTCCATTTTCTATGTTTTAGCATGTCCTTGATTGTTACAGAATAGTTACAGCTAGAATAGTCCAGTCTTTGTGATTACTATTGCTACAATGTCTGAAATTAAGGCAATGGGAGAAGATAGGCAAAGATTAAAGGGACATCTTGAGAAGTTCCACAGAGAGAAATTATATAGATATGAACTATTTGTGAGTGCCAAGTTTAGTGTAGTAGTTAAGGCATCAGGCTACCAACATGGAAACAAAGCCAGTTGGTGACTTCGGGCCAGTCACTTTCTCTCCACCCTAAAAAAGAGGCAAAGGCAAACCACTTCTGAAAAACCTTGCCAAGAAAACTTCAGGGACTTATCCAGGTAGTCTCTGAGAAATGGTCATAACTGAACAGAAGAAGGGACGGGAAAAAAACTATATATACTGTAGATTTGTGGAAAAAAGCAGGAAGAACAGACTGCGAGGCCATTATATCTTTAATATTCAATTCTGCTCCAGTAGAACATTGTACAAAGAAGGACCCAAGTCTGGAAAAAAAGGAAATAATTCAAGGAGAATTATTGGAACATCTTTTTTTTATGCAGCACATTTTGGTTTTCCACTTCAAAACTCCATTGAACAGAAGAACAGCCTGAAGTTAATTTGTACAAGCAGCATAATTAGGTGTGGGACAACTAGCTCTCTGAATTAAGCATGTATTGTGTTCAGCATAGAACCCCAAGGTTGTTTTATTACCATAAAGAAATACAAATGCATAAATTTAATAAGCACCATGGCTGACAGAAAAACTATGAAAACTTCTGCAAGTAAAATGGTTCTCAGGTCTTCCTCTTTTTATGGAAAACTATGTAGACAAAGAAGCAATGATATAAGTTATTGGAAAGCATCTCATAAAGGCTTTCATTAAAGTCACTGCCAAAAAGTATGCAGAGAAACAAATATTTAGACTGCCCAGGAATTTAGGACAACCTTGTTTCCATGCATGTCTGTGCCTGACTGTGGCAATGTCTAGGGCAGAGGTGACAAACTTTTCCTGTTGACAGCCACATTCCTTTCCGAATAATACATGCCAACTTTAGGTGTGCCTGAACCCAGCAGCAGAGAAAGTCAAGCCAAGCTCAAAGTGGCCAAAAATATGCTTTTTCTTCTCTGCCCAGGAGGCTACTAGAGCAAGGTCTTTTTCAAGATTTCCCCAGCCAGCATGTATTTCTGTCAGCAGAAATTACGGGGAATTCTGAGAGTTGTCAAATTTGAAAAAAAAACCTGATTGATTGGTTGAAATACATAAATCAATAGTTTAATCAGGGCGGAAAAATAAATATGCTTAAATATAAAAAGAAAGATTATTTCAGAATTTCAAATTTTCCTCACATTGCCCTGACTATTGTTACATTCTCGTCAATGAGGAGAAAACAATGAGAGAAATATTACACTGATGTCATCTAAAAGAAAAGTAAAAAAAAAAAAGCTACTCTGGGAGGGAGTAGCCAGATTCTAAGCTGGATGTCTCAGAGTCTTTTAAAGGTCCTGTGTTAGACAGAGAACACACCTTATTAAAAATCTGAACTGATTATTTATGGTAGCCCAAAATGGACTATAATTCCACATATTCAAGCATATTGTAAAAGGGAGAAACTGGGAAAGAGGATTCTAGACCTACTTTTGAGTAACACCAGTGTCCAATTTCTTCTAGAATAAGGTTTGAGAAAATAAGAAAAGCTTTGCTTTGCTTTGCTTTGCTTTGCTTTGCTTTGCTTTGCTTTGCTTTGCTTTGCTTTGCTTTGCTTTGCTTTGCTTTGCTTTGCTTTGCTTCGCTTCCTTTCCCTTCCCTTCCCTTCCTTCCCCTTCCCTTCCTTTCCCTTCCCTTCCCTTCCCTTCCCTTCCTTTCCCTTCCCTTCCTTTCCCTTCCCTTCCCTTCCCTTCCCTTCCTCAATTATTGTGTTGTAGTGCAGTGGTAGCTTGGTATTCAACTGCTCTGAAATTTATCAAACTTGGTAGTCAATGAATTTTGATGTGAAATTTTTGTCCCAGTACGCATTGTTTATTTAATACTCAATGTACAAGCTAGAACTTGTCGGTGTCGGCAGTCATTTTACTTTGTATACATTTGTTTGATACTCATTGTTTTTGGATTCATTGCACCTCTCGTAACGAATTAACGATGAGTACTGAGGTACCACTGTATTTGTTAAGATGAGAGTGAGAGAAACTGTCTAGCTTGCCTCAACCTATTGATGAACTTTAGAATTCATATTCCTGTTCAGCCTGGTTATCCCTAGTCCAACTCCAACATTATTTAAACATCCTAAATATTCTACTATGCCTGTCATTCAGGTGACATGTTCCCATCGTGTTTGTCCACATGCCTCTCATTTGCTGATAACCAGTCTTCCTGCATATTCACATTCTTTTTATTGCCTTCCTAGAGGTCATTTTTATATTTACACTGAGGCTTGTTATACTGGTTAAGGGACTCTGTAAACTCAGGTAGCCATTGCAAGTGTCCAAGAAGGACAGCACAAACAAGTCATACAGTATATTATGAACAAGTTTTCCCTGTTATGAAAGGCTTATCTGACCTTAGCTGGCTCACAACATTAAAACTGTGAGTTCAATCCCAAAACACTGGAGACTGAATTAAATTATAAACTGAATTAAATTATAAACTTTTGAGATGGTTTGCTCAAACCCAAGCAACTTTAATTACACACAACAATGAGTGTCAGCAGTATAAGCAGGCAGGTCTTTGATAGAAGTCATTTACAAACAAAATTTAATGCAACAAAAAAGGATAAGGAAAGGACATCCATTAATAGGACCAAACCTTTCCGTAAAGAATGGATAACAAAATGAAAAAGTAAAGAACAAAAAAGTATAAGGTTAAGAGCACATCTTAAAATTAACGCGCTTCAAGGTTTTGGTTACTATCTTTAGAGCGCTCCATGGCTCAGGACCAGGGTACTTACGAGACCACCTCCTGCCACCAATAGCCTCTCACCGACCAGTTCACTCCGATAGAGAGGGACTCCTCAGGGTGCCGTCAGCCAAACAATGTCGACTGACGGCCCCCAGGGGGAGAGCCTTTTCTGTGGGGGCACCTACCATCTGGAACGGGCTTCCCCCGGAGTTACGAAACATCCAAGAGTTACGCATATTCCGCCGTGCCCTGAAAACATTTCTATTCCAACAAGCTGGTCTGGCCTAACTCTCCCTTTTTAATTGGCTTTTAAACTGGCTTTTAAATCGGGTTTTAGACCTCTTTAGATAAATTTGGATGTTTTAATCTTTGAGCCTAAATTACTTAATCTGTTTTTTAATAGTTTTTAACTTCTATATGTATTTGTATTTATTATGGCTGTTCACCGCCCTGAGTCCTTCGGGAGTAGGGCGGTATACAAATATGAAAAATAAATAAATAAATAAAATAAATAAATAAACACTAAAATGCACATTAAAGGCACTAAATCATGAAGTCCAACAAATAAAGTTCTTTTAGATACTTACAGTCCAGCACAGAATGGCAAATCCAAACCAGGCAACGCCCCAGGCGTGTCTGTTCATGGGGCCAGCAATAGTTTCATAGCAGCCCTAGGGGAAAATAAAGAGGAAGAGGATCAGCTACAGGCAAATAGATCTAGTTACTAAGCCTTCATTCAAAAGAAGGACTGGTGTAAATTAATACAGGCAAGATTTAATGTGAACTTGTACCTGCCTGATTCATATGGAACTAGAATGAACTCCCTTGTCAATACTGGCAGTTTCCAGAATTGTGCAATATGGATTGCAAGCCATAAATATGTGCACAAAAGTGTATGTGGAAGGTAAAAAAAAATGTATTCAGGGAGATTGCTTGCAAACTTTGTACACATTAACAAAAGTCCATACAAAAATGTGCAATTTAGATTGAAATTTGTACAAAAATGTTTATGAATTCTTACACAGATGTTTTTATGTCAAATTTGAAAGCTGAATATGTATGAGCCAAAAAATGCCAACATGTGGGAATCATGAGAATAGTATACTAATATTTACAAATAAGTAAAAAAAAAAAAGTCGTCAAGCAAAAAGAGAGAAAACACACTTCCTGGTTGGAAGTTGAGGAGATTTCTCTGGAAATAAAATATCTTTAACTTCATCAATCCAACAAGGGACTAAACAATAACCAAAGCAATTATCTAAAATTTCATTAGAGTTTTAGCATCCATCTTTTCAAAGTAAATTCCTTCTCAAATAGTTGTACTGCTGCGGTTAAAAGTCACTGAAACCACTGATGTAATTATCCAGATTGAAATGGAGGTATCCCATTTTAAAGAATTGTCAAAGTGATGGCTATCAGATGCATAGTAATGGATTAAAATCTATTAAAGTAATGCTATAATCAATGTGTTAGTTTTTAAGATTATCACAGCAGTCCAAATCTTCACATTTTAATCAAATAACAGTAGGCTGGTAGATCTAGCAGAGTGATGAAGAAATAGTATTACATCCATCAATAATATTTCAGCCTGTTGAATTTGTATAATTATGATCAAGATTAAGTTCTTAAATTTAATAAGCAGTAGCAGTCCCAGAGAATTTTATCTTATGATAGGGCTGTTCTTCTCTGACAGGGATGTAAAACAAGGAACATAAGGAGAAGAGGAACATTCAGCCTACCGCATTGGCAGTAAATATTGCTAGCATTGAGCACCCCATTAACATTTCAGAGAAGACAAATATCAATGAGTGTTTTGATTGCTGCAGAACAAAAATAAGAAGAAATTCTTACTGTCGTATGGTAATAGCCAGGCACCCCTAATTTGCAGCCATCCAAGTTAGTTGCTTTTCCTAGGAGATCCATAACACAGCACTGTCGTGGCCAGGGAAAATCTGTGTCACTGTTCACTGTCCGAAAAACGGAGGTATATGTTTGCCAGTCGGTTGGGCCATTCACACCACAGCATTTATTCTGGATTTATGAAAGAAAAATGCATTTGTTGGGGTGCAATAATAGGGCACTGCACTTGTCATTTTTTAAAAAAGAAATGAAAGAAATTGCAGTCAATTTACTTTTTTATTTTTACCAAAAATGTGAAAAAAGATTTACATCCAATGAACCAGCATCAATTTTACAATGTTTCATATTGTAAATTGTTTCACATTGTAAAAAACACTGAAAATTGTTGGAATGTAATAGAACTGGATGGAATACAAAAATCAAGGAGCTCTGATTTCCTCAGATAGATCATTTACAGGATATTACAATGCAGCATGAAATCATATCAATGGGGGGAAAAGTAGTTTACATTTTTCAAAAGCTCCCCAAGTTTTGAGCTAACTCTGCATCATCCCATTACTTTTAGTCAAATTCATACAAAAATATTGCTTAAGGGCAAGACAATAAATTGATAGATTATGGCAATTATTCAGAACAGATCTCATATATTGACAACCTGTAGTTTGTGCAATTGCATAGAACAAATAAATTAGAAGCTCAAACAGGAGAAGGAAGACGTGTTAGATATGTTTGCCACCTTGAGTTATTTGTAAAAACAATAAAGGTAGGATAGAAATAAATACATAACATAGTCCTTGAAGTACTGTAACTCTGTTTGGCAGTAATCCCTGAGATCAGGACTCTTTATTCTATATGCATTGTAACCACATTCTATCAAATGTAATTATAATTCCTCTTCGGGATTTCTCTATGAACCCAGAAGGTTGAGAATAGAGTCAGAAAGCATTTTTTTAAATCTATTGGCCAAGCTTACAGTATTTGAATCTCTGAAGATGGCGTTTGTAGTCTCCAAAGCTCTAAACAAAACAATAAGATTCAAGCTGATCAGAAATTGTAAGTAGTGATGGACTACAACCAATTTCTAATCCTATGTGTGTTCATTTTTAAATGACCTTTCCACTCAATTGGAGTAACGTGTGATAGATTTATAGCTGCAGTCCCTTTTTTAAAAACTCCACATTGTTGTCAAACTCAAGAAGCAATAACCACATAGATTTCAGAACGATATCTTAAATGCTATGAAACACAAACTGAAAGATCAACTTTTTAGGCAGTAAACCAATTAATCCAGAGTTTATTTGAAATGTATCTTTCCCATGATCTGCCCATCTGGTCTGTGATGAGTCTTTTCACACAAACTGAATTTCTCCCCCATCTGCTTCACACTGTCCCTCAGACTTTCATGCTAACAGTGTCATAATCTTAAAAAACATTCTTAAATGAGAGTGAAGAATTAGTCCCAAAGTAGTACAGTACTCTTACCTGCAACATGAGACGATTCCATGTCCGGGTAATACCTTCACTCTTCCATTTGTCATCATTGTTGATTGGGTCTGGATTCTGGTATTTTTCCAACATTTGCTTCAAGAAAAGTTCATTTGTAAGCTAAGAGGTAATGAAAGGAACAAATATGAGCTTTTCCCCCTATTTGGAGAACACTCCATAAAGTCAGAAGTCACATCCTTGGTAACATCTAGCAAATAAATCTTAGATGTTTTAAAATTAGTTAAAATTAATTATTTTCCTCCAGTAGTACATGCTAACTAATGTAAATAACATTAGCACAAGCTTAACCCACAAATTCCAGTTTTTGGTAGACTACTTCACTGAGTAACTTTAAGGAGTTCACAGGTGATTAAGCTTTTTTTTTTTAAGGAATGATTATATCACTGAAATGTGTTAGCTAACGAAGAAACTCTAGTCAACAAACAAATAAAATCCTGCAATCCACAGATATGGTAGAAAGATTTCCTTTCCCTTAGATTAAAATAATGAATTAAAAACTTGGTCATACCATATGAAGGTGCTGCAAGACCTTCAACATGTTTGCAGAACCTCTACACTGAATTGAGAGCATCTGAGAGAACAGACACATCACTGGCAAAATACTCACGAAATCCCGATGCACTGTTGCTGTGATGCTAGAGGCTACTTCAAAGGCAAAGACGATCATCATCAGGATGATGTACTAAATACAAACAAACAAAACCCATGTCACAAAGAACATTCAATACACTTCCATCTCAAATCGAGTGCTTTAATGACCCTCCCCTGAAATCTGTCTTATTCCTTCTGTTTCTTCCTCCTTCATCTTTTAGTTTGCCAGAATTAAAAGCTTGGGAAAGAAGCATGAATGGCTTCCCATAGCAACTTTCAGCTAAATTATTTGTTCATATATTGTTCATAGACCTCTATTGAAAAAGCCACATTGACCACTAAATGCAATTTTAAAAAATGGTAGAATCAAAGCAGGAATAAAAGAACAAGAATCCTGCAATTCCTTTTTTAAAACAACACAGAATAGGAACCAGCTACATTTTTCCTAGGAGAAAGTTCCATAAATGGGGCTGTCAGGATTCTAAGTAACACTCTCAATGAAAAAAAAACTCCAAGGCTTGAGTTTTCTCAAAGTTACATTTTATTAGAGATGTCATATTGGCATATCTGGAAGAAATTGAAAGTTTCCAGGTTTTCCCCACCCAAAGGAAAGTTCAAGTCTCTGCCCAACACCCACAAATCCATCACATGGTCCAATTAGCTATCATCCCAACTGGAGATGCCTACCAGTTCCATCTTCCCAGGTGCAGGGCAAGTTGTCCTTGACTTCTTGAGAAAGGAATGTTATTATGACTATATATCCCCCATGCTCCATACAATCCCCCCTCCCAATTTCCCACAGTAGTAAATGTGACAGGTCTGAAGGCCTAATACAAAAGATGGCTTCCAGGCCTGACAGGGGCACTATTACTGAGAATGATCTACTCCTGTTAACACGTTGTACATCAGCTAGTAGAACCAAGTCTAGGACTCGCCAACCTATCTGTGTTAGGTGGTATTGAATTGACAGACCCTTTCTTTTGTTTGCAAAAATTTATAGGCAGTGAACAGAATGATGTGGGTCCATTTAATTACTCTGGTAACAATCCAGGAATCTACCAGTCACACCTTCCAGTTAGCATTAATTTGCTATACTGAGAACATACAGGTTCTCTTCGACTTACAACTAATAATTTAGTAATCATTCAAAGTTACAATGGCACTGAAAGTTAGTTGTAACTGGCCATCACACATTGTTGCAGCATCCCCTCGATGATCAAAATTCTGATGCTTGGCAACCAGCATGTAATTATGAGGGTTGCAGCATCCGGGGCTGATCTGATTACCATTTGCAACTTTCTCAGCCAGTTTCCAACAAGCAATGGGGAAGCTGAGGGTAGGCTGGATCTGTTTAACAACCATGGGATTCACTTAACAACTGCTTAACAACCATGGCAAAGAATATCATAAAAGTGGGTGTGACTCCTTTAACAACTGCCTTGCTTAACAAGAAATTAGAATTTCTGGTCCCAATTCTGGTCCATAAATTAAGGACTACCTGTATTCATGCAACTTCAATATCAAGAAAGATCAATCCAATTGGATGCATGTCTTAATAAAACAACAATCAATCTAATTAACAGAGTGGAGGTCCAAAGTAAAGCAGTAGTTGGAATAACAACATAATTTCACATGTTATTTTATCTCCCTTGTACCAATCTTAGTTCTTACTATGTTCTGACTATTTTATAAATTCAGTTCAGCATGAACCAGATTTTTAACAATACAGCCACAAATGAGTAACAAGTTGTTTAATGAACTCTCTAGATAACATATTTTCCTTTTCCAATAATATAGGCTGGAAATAATGTGCTCAAAACCATGTTTGATTTACAACTACTTCAAATCATACCTGCAAAATGATAAGCTTTTCCTATTGTAAGCTATTCAGCTCCCAAATATACAAATCCATTCATTAACCTGTCTATTAAAAATAATATCCACTTGCAAACTGTAGCATTCTGTGATTAAGTTACCCACCAAATAATGCTGTCTATTATACAAGTAATAAGCCATTCCAGAGATTATCTGGCAAATATAGAGTGAGAACCATCTTTTGCATTTGTAGGACAGTATGACCTGCAAAATCCATGTCAACATGTTATGATTGATGTCTTTATTGAAGCCTGGCCTGCATGGTATTCTGTGTAATCTATTCACTGCATTTTGTAAAGCCTGGACACTCTCATGCATTGAATTCTAATACTAATTTTCTCCAAATTTTCCAAATGCCAGAGGATTTTTTCACCATTAGTTCTTGAAGTAACTTCCTTATGAACAGCAGAACAGGATTAACTTGACCATTCAAAATGTAACATCTTTTGAATTCACATTTTGTTGAACTAACAAATCTAAAGTCTGAGATTTTTTTTAAAGAAACCCTACCTTTAAAATAGAGGAAACTGCAACAAAGGAAAAGGAATTTTAAAAAAGGGAAATAAACTTGATGTTCTGTCATCTTAAAGGGAAATGAGAAAGATATGTGTAAATATTTCATCCCAGAATGAAATTTCTGCACAGAAGGATAATTTTAGGAACAGCTTTATTAATATACTTAAGAAATGATGCCCAAACTTCAATATAATGTATCTATCCCAATTTATATAGTCTTTCAAAACTCTTCGCTGAAGTGCTAATGATTTGAGATAAAGCTATTTCCCATCTTTTTAACACCATTTTAAATGCATCCATTTTCTGATGTTTTGAAATAACAAACCTTGCTGCTACCAATAAAAACTCAATCAGTCTTATAGCGCATCAGTTTCTATGTCTGAAGAAAATTGGACATAAAATCAACAGGAGGGTTTATGCCAAAGTCTGCTGAATGATTTTCCTGTTTTTTTGCAAAATATTTTCACAAAAATTAAAAACTAGTTGGGCATTGCCATACAACTAGCTTTGTGTAGTGCTCTGCTTAACATACATTAGGAAGTTTATAATTTATGTAGTACAACTTTAATGCAGTGTAAAGTTTACCATTAGTAAACTTCAAGATTAGTTCTTGCTAATTTACTAAAGCTTAAAAGCCATTCTGCACTAAAGATTCCAATAAAATTCAACACGTTGAAACTTTTAAGTCATAATTTCATTACCCTGTGGCCTTAAAATAAAAGTTTAACATGTTAGATATTTTAAATGAAATATGTATTATAAATAAATATGTATTTATCTTCCCATTTCTTCTCTTAATTGAAAAACATAAAAATCATTTTTCAGATTTCATATCCCTAAGGGTTAAATATTAGTTACTAAGAATCAACAAACACTTGATGGCACATAAAAGGTTCTTCTATGAGGTATGTATTTAGACATACCTTGTCTGTATAATATAATCTACTATAGAGATTATTAACTTTTGGTCTTTTAAATCGCATAATGGAAGTATTTACTTTACCTAAGAAAAATGATCTATTTCGTCTGAAATTACTGTTACATTAACATTTGAATCCATTTCAATTCCCCGTAACTATCTATATTTATTTCTAGAAAGTCTTGGGGAGGGGAAGAAGGGAAGGAAGATAAGGTCTCTCATAATAATGACTTCATTGCTAATCTCAAGATGCCAGACTGTTTTTCTGTTTGTACTTTTTCAGTACTTTACAATTCTCCTAAGCTGTGGTTTCTTTATACTTTGAATGTCAAAACCGAGAACAGGCTATGTATAATTGGAATTTACTTGAGGTACTATTGAGGAGTTACTAAATCCTGCTGTTTGGGAAAAGGTTATTTTCCTAAGAGTCTAAGCTTCTCTACTAAGAGTCTATTAAGAGTCCAATCTTTTCCTGGTAATTTCCAATTTGACTTTCATACATTTCAGAATAATTTGTCATTTTTATGTGTGGGATTAAATCTTTCTCCATTTAGGATCTTTTGGAAATGTTAATCCAGGATTTCTAGCACTACTTTTTTTTTCCTGCAACAATTTTTTACTTGTATTTCTTTTTGTCTCACAAAATCATGCTTTTCTTCCATTTATAAATTTCTTTGCTACCCATCACAGTTTTTGAATAAATGAGAAGTCAACATACATACAGTAATTTAGTATTTAAATTCTTTTCTGCAACACGAAAGTATTGCAGGAATATTGGCATACATGTTTTATGATGTGTACATCTTGTTTACTATATTTGTCTGAATACAGTTTATATTCTAATTTGAGAGTAATATTATGATAGAAATGAATTTCTCAGTTTCTTAAAATTGTATAGGAAAGCTATAAAAGTATATAGAAAATTGTCTTGTTTATCCATCCATCCATCCATTCACTTCTTCAATTCATTTGGCTTCTAGGCTGTATGTGTAGGTATATATTATCACGTGTGTGCAATGTGCATATCTATATCTATATTGAGATATATGCAGATATAGATATTGATACCAATATCACACATATTCATATAATGCTAATTCTGCTGTTGGTAGGTTCATAAACTATCTCCAAAAGTTTTCTGGAAGAGCCACATATTGACAACTTCCTATAAGGCCATGAGAATGGGAGGCAGGATATTCCATAGGAGAAAGCCCAATAGAGATTACCATCATAAGGCTCTTCCAATTGTGCTCATAGTAGATAAATATCCTTGCAGGTATTTTTTTCAACTTTCCGGTTGGGTTCTCAGAATTTACCTGGGAAAAATAATACTTTCTTAGGTACCCAAGCCTAAAATTATATTGGGATAAAGTTGGTGACCAGTGCTTGGAATTGCACTCAGAAATATACTGTTAACCACTGCAATTCTTGCAGAAAGGATATAACATGCAGTATCAAAACTCAGCATGATGCATGTGGGCATTTTGGACCTGCTGAAATTTCTGAATACTCTTCAAGTACAAGCTCATGTAGAAAGAATTACAGTAATCTAGGTGAGTGATTGTTCTTGGGGCATCCTATTCCAGGTAAAACCACCACAAATGATGCATCACCTGAAACTGGGCAAAGATCTCCTGGCCAGGGATATGTGATTCAAAGAGGAACCATTCCACCTCAGATTTTAAAATTGAGAATTAAAGCTAGTAGAGTCCTACAGTCCATCGGATTCTGAATTAACAACTGCTCCATCTTTCTTGGATTGGGTTTGAAACTGTTTTTATCTGTCTATAGACCATGATAGCCCTCCAGCCATTATGTCAAGACTATTGTGAAAATTACGTAGCTACTGTATGCAGTTCTGATCATAATCACTTTCCTCTTGCCATATTTGGTCGCATAAATATGCCAATTAAAAACTTTGTTTAATTTTTAATTGCACTGAATGGAAAGATTTTCTTTCTAAAGAAATGTGGCTATGATATCTTTGATAAGAGCCTCATCTTAAAATGGTAAAACTGAAGATCTAGGGGGGGGGGAATCATTTCCCCCCCTTTTTTATTCATGTCACAGTGATTGACAGCAAACCATGCAAAAATACCTTTCACCAAAAAGTTTCTACTTCTAACAAACTAAAACTGTCATTAATTTTTATTTGTGCAAGAAGTGCCAGCACATATAATGATTTCAGTCTCTGAAACTCTGCAAACACAGTATTTCCTTGACAACCTATTCATTATTGTCTCCCATGGTATTATCAATGTTTCAGAAGTCCCTTTCTGCAAAAACCACAAGAATATACCAAGATATACAGCTAGCAGATGTATTTCTTAGTTGGTAAGATCACCAATACCTTTTGTTGCTACAAACTTACCACTAATAGCATTGTCCTGCTTGACTTTATGACACCAACAATACCAAGAACAGATAGACAAAAGAAACAGAAACCAGTGAAGATCCCAATCCAGGCAGCACCATAGATATCATCATTGTCCGTAGCTTCCAGCAATGGATATAGAGAGTGTTGATCAGACACAAAGAATATACATTCAGCCATGAGCGCAAGGCCACAACACTGAAACCAGAGAGACACATGAGTCATTCCAGAACATTCTCTAAATTTTTGCATTTGTTTTTAAGGCTAAAATCTGAGCCAAACTGAATACTCCATTTGAATCACACACTTCTTTCTTTCATAGAAAGGATACTCCAGATGAAAAAATACGTATACAAATTTGTGACTGGAAGCATTATAGATATTTCGCATAGCTTCCATTCTTCCAGCTTCCAAGTGTTTGCTTCAGTTCTAGATGCCTTTGAATGGAAAATGATGTTTCCTCAAACTGGTGCCAATCTCTTTTTACCAACCATTATGTTGGTCACATGACACTTATCCCAATTGTATTTTATCTATCACATATTACTTTTTAGAAGAAATACTCCCTTTTGTACACTTTTATTCAACAAAGACATTTTCTATTTGATTTTTTTACAAGAAAATGGAGAAGCTATTTTTCATTCACAATAGGCATTCTTTCTGCCATTATTCTTGTCTCCACAAATGAAAATCACATTTGCATTTTTTACATTTCAAAGTAATGCTGAATTAGGAAGCACATACATCCAAGCACATACACGCATACAGACGCACACACTCCTAATCCTAACATGCAACTTAAACTAAAGACGCACATTTATCGAAGTGCAATAATAAAAATAAATAAATAAATAAGAGTGCTTCCTACATTCAACTCTTACGTGCAGCATATGGATTTTATAGCCTAGTATGGCTGCTGTTCTGCTGGCATGAGCTAGAATAAAGAATGAGAAAATGGCGGTGGGTGGGGGGAGAAGCAGCTTTAGTCTTGAAAGGCAGATGCTGAATTAGGAAGCCTAATGAATTGACCCAGCTGGCTAGCCAGAGCTGGTGTGGGGAGATTTTGAGTGTGTCATTTCATTGGGGCAGTGAGGTATATAGGGCTTGGATACTAGAGCTCTGGGGAAGCAGCCATCTCAGTTGCTGCAGGACATGCTGCCAATGTAACCCAAAATTGGAGAGACAGAAGGGACTGGAGAGTGTAGGCAAGAGTAAAATTGGAGTGAACAAAGAAGGGGAAGGGAGAAAGATGAGAGAAGTTGGAAAGTGAAGTGAAACTTCCAGACAAGTATTGGTTGTTGTTTGGGGGAAAGAAAAGCAATGGTTCAAGGATGGTTTCGCTGGAAATATGGAAGTGAAGGCTCAGAAGAACAAGCTCCATTGAAGATCCACAACTCAGCAGAGAAAGGAGGAATCTGGCTGGTTGCAGTTAGCCAAGATCCTAGACAGTGGTGGATTTCAAATTTTTTTACTACTGGTTCTGTGGGTGTGCCTTGGTGGGCATGGCAGGAGAAGGATACTATAAAATCTCCATTCCCTCCCCACTCCAGGGGAAGGATACTGTAAAATCTCCATTCCCTCCTGATCAGCTGGGATTTGGGAGGCAGAGAATAGATGGGGGTGGGGCCAGTCAGAGGTGGTATTTACCGGTTCTCCGAACTACTCAAAATTTCCACTATTGGTTCTGCAGAACTGGTCAGAACCTGCTGAAACCCACCTCTGATCCTGGAGAAAAGAAAGGGAATCAGCTGCCAGTAGAGAAGCCCTGGTTTGGGGGAAACTGGACAGAACATCCTGAGATATATTCTTCCCCCAACATAGGTGTTCAACTGAACTGGAAAAAAGTCAGGCAACACTGAATACACTCCACTAATCCCAGTCCAGCCCAGTTCAGTCCTTTCTTTTTTTTCTCTTTCCAAGCCCAGAAACAAGGGATTGAGACAGAAAGGGAAGGAGAGGAAGGAGAAGAGATAGATGGGGAAAGTCATCACAGGGAAACCTGGGAGAGAAACCTGATATCAGAACTGTGTTTATTTTATCTCAGTGGTAAATAACTACATGAAAAAAAATAATAAAAAAAACTCCTCTGTGTTTCGGTGTCCATTGCTACCTTTGTAAACCCTTCACACTGTAACAACCAGTTATTAATTTACAAGGGAATGACTGTATTCATGCATTCAGCTAAAGCAAAATATGATCTGTTAGGTTGGATTTAGCTTGTTGTATAAACTGAATCTCTGCAATTTCTAAACCAGAATTTGGGTTTATCGTGATATATCAATGCAATCAACTGTAGTTTACAAAGCTAACTATTATTTTCAAAATCATGGCTTAATAATGTGTGAACCTAGACAGTGGTATATTTTGAAGAAGCCTTTGTTAAGTTACTTACCCCTATGACAACATTTCCCAGGATTAATAAGCCCTGAAAGCATCGCACACCAGTGTCTCCTTTTGCCATCTTCGGTTGGCAATGCAATCTAGAAAGGAATTATACATGTGTTAATACTGCAGGTTCTTTCAAAAGTGCTGTCTTTTCCTCCTCTTTTAAACCCTACAATCTTCAGATTGTACAGCTTTTAAAAGCCATACAATCTTCAGTCATGTCCCAGACTGTAATAAAAAGCTTCAAAGACTTCAAAATCACAACAAAATGATCCTACAGTACAGTATCTACAATAACTTTTTAAATTGTACAGGAAGAACACCTATTCTCACTTCATTAGCAAATAATGTGTCTTAAAGAACAACATGTGTCTAATCCTTTAGTTCTGAGGGATGGAATGAAATGAAATAGAATGGAATATTTTATTGGCCAAATATGATTAGACACACAAGGAATTTGTCTCTGGTGCAAAAGCTTTCAATGTATATTCATAATAATAATAATAATAATAATAATAATAATAATAATAATAATAATACAGTGAAGATCTTGTGGGACTTTCAAATACAGACGGATCATCATTTGGAACATAACACGCCAGATATCATGGTTGTTGAGGGCCGAAGCGTACAGTTTATTGGTATCGCTGTACCAGGAGACACCAGAGTCAAAGAAAAAGAACTGGAAAAAAATCACAAAATATTGAACCTGGCCATCGAAACTACACGGCTATGGATGAAATGTAACAGTGATACCCATTGTCATCCGGGCACTTGGTACCAGGTCCAAGAATTTTACAAAACATATCAAGAAATTGCAGCTTCCTGCAATAACATTAGCGGAACTGCAAAAATCTGCGCTACTCAGAACATCATATATTTTAGGAAGATACTTGGTTGATACGTAGGACGCTGGCAGCAACCTGTATCAACCATTAGCACCTGTCAATGGTAGTTATGATACATTTTTAAATGTTCAGTTGACTGAGTTTCATGTTTAAAGAATAAAAGAGATAATAATAATACCACCAATAAGAGGGAGTAGTAGAGAAGATGAGAAGGATAATAATAGTACCACAAGCATACAACATGGGTAAATATACTTAGATGTAAGACAATACTGTGAGGATTAGGTGTCCAGCAGAGTGATGGCACAAGGAAAAAAAACCTGTCTCTGGGTCTACCTGTTTTGGCATGCAATGTCCAACAGCCATTGCATCCCGAGGGGAAGAGTTGAAACAGTTTATAACCAGAATTTGAGGGATCTATAGATATTTTCTCAGCCCTCCTTCTGACCTGCACAATATATAGGATAAAAATGTATAAAGCATGCAGTATGTATAAAGCATGCAGTATTTAAAATGACGTTCACCAACCAATCTCCATAGTAGCCAAACTGGACTGATTCTGCTACTTAAAACTACACTTGGAGAATTGTATTTTAAGGGAAGCATTTCTCATGTTCATTCCTCACAGAAAGCCATGCGTCATATAAAATGTTTTATTAACTTTTTAGGTGGGAATTATTACTTAGGAGTTGATTAAGCTTTTGAACACATAATGTATTATAAGAAAATATTTGTATTTCTACCTCAGTTGAATTCTGATATAATTTTGGAATCCATTCTACATGTTTCGATTCATAATTCATTTCTTCACCTGATTATTTGTGGTAGGATTAAAAGAATCACTTTATTTGCATGTTATACCATTTCTATGAAGGCAATGAGTGAGATCTTTCATAGTTTCTCACACCTACCTGGGAAGTTCCTTCAACCTTGGGCTACAGCTTCTGCTTCATGGTTGAAAATGTTATTTCCTATTTTATAGCTGATAGCCTACAGCAAGCCTGATTCAACCTTTTTGGGTGAGAAAGTCACACCCATCAGAAACTCTTTTGCAGCCACTGTTATGGAACTGGCTGAGAAAACTAATTCAAAGAGCTGGTTGCAGCTAGAACAAAAGAGACCAGGAAAGTAACATTCCAGTTGAATATTTTAAACTTCTGAAAGTTTCTGTTCTGCAGTCCAGTCCTTAGTATCTTCCATGGAATTTACACACCTTCTCCATCATTCTCTCTTATGAACTTGCAGAAGCAAGACTACTAGGCAGGTTTTTCTAACTATATTTTCCCCTAATTTTTGTCAATCTTTTTTTTTTTAATTTCTTTCAGAGGAGAAGAGAAATTCAGTGATATTCATATGGATAAAGTGTGGCACTCTTGTTTCTTTTTAGTTATGAGATCGCGGGAATAGAGAATGTCCTTTTACATTGCACAGTTCCAGTTTCCTTCTTATACTCTCAATAAATCTATTGCTTAAATATAATTTTAATAGGGATATTTTACATGAATAAAAAGTTAAACATAACATATATAAAAGAGAACTAAGAAAAAGAAAAAAGGTGTGGAAAGATAGTACAAAGAAAAAGAAAAAGAAAAAGAAGTGACTTACAATGTTCTTTACAGCACTTACAGACCAACATATTATCCATCTCTCAGATTAGATTTTATGGTTCAGTGGTGGAATTCAAAAATTTTTACTACTGGTTCTGTGGGTGTGGCTTGGTGGGCGTGGCATGGCTTGGTGGGCATGGCTTGGTGGGCGTGGCAGGGGAAGAATACTGTAAAATCTCCATTCGCTCCCCACTCCAGGGGAAGGTTACTGCAAAATCCGCATTTCCTCCTGATCAGCTACGACTCTGGAGGTGGAGAATAGATGGGGGCCGGGCCAGTCAGAGGTGGTATTTACCGGCTCTCCAAACTACTCAAAATTTCCGCTACTGGTTCTCCAGAACTGGTCAGAACCTACTGAATACCACCTCTGATATGGTTCCTTTCTATCTCATTTTCAACCTTTTAAATAAGCAAACTCATAAATCACCATGATACTTTTCACAGAAAAATATCATAAAAGGATTCCACTCTTTTATAAAAGAATACGTTACATCCCTGATTAAATAGGTCAAATTTGCCATTTCTGAAGATTTATGTACATTTAGTTGGATTCTGCCTCTGTGTAACATAAATCTAGCAACTGTGTCTTGTACTCTTTGATAAGAGAGAAAAACAACTCTCTTTAATGTGATATTCATTCAGATATTTAAAGAGTTCTATCATGTTTCTTGTCAGTCATCCTTTTTTCAAGATGAAATATGGTGTCCCAAACTGGAAAAAAAACCTCACTAGTCAAGGTAACCAAAGCAAGACTGACTGGAATGATTGCTTTCTGTAATTTGGAGACTGGGCTTCTCTTGATGCAAACTGAGTGTCTTCTTTCCAGTTATGTGACACTGCTGGATCATATTCAATTGCAGATAACTACATCCACAATCTTTCACATGCGCAGTTGGTATACCAGATGGCTGCCATCCTATACTTGTATATTTGATTTGGGTTTTTTTTATTGTGAACTTTGCACTTATATCTATTGTATTTTCTTCTGTTATTTTTAAACTATATATTTTTTTTATTTCTATGTTCTATGTTCTACCTTACCTGACTTTGAATCATCTGCAAATTCGATAAGCATTCTCCGCAGTCAGACATAAAATTTATTGTTGTGGCATACCACCTACTACCATTCTCCAATTTTATGGATATCTATTGAATTATACTCTTTGAGTGTGTTTTGTAAGATAGCTATGTAATCACTTTATTGCAGTCTATAAGTAATCAGCTTGCTAGTCAATGTATTTCAAGAAATTTTGTCTGATCTTTTGCTGAAGTCAAGATATTATAGATATAACATTCCACAATCTATTAAAGACGTAATCAAATATTAGTTTTCCAAGATATGTTCTACACAATTTTTGGTAGCTTCTAATAAGTACTCCTTTGTTTTCAAGACATTTATACATTAAATCCTTACAGATTTACTTTAGAATATTGCTAGGTATCAATTTCAAATCGGAGTTTTATGAAATTTCTTTTGCCCCTTTGGGGGGGAACTTCTACTGTCCTCCACTCCTTTGGTACTTTACTAATTCTTTTTCAAAGATAGTACAGTTCAGCTGGACAATTATCAAATTCCTTCAACACTCTAAGAAGTAACTGACTTGATCTTCAAGTTTAAACTTTTTCAAAATGAATAGGTATTCTGTAAACATATTTGTATAATCTCAAATTTCAATCCTGCTCCTTCATCCAACACTTCACAATTTCCTGGTGGAACACGTATTGTGGAACACGTTGGAGAAAATTGAACCACATTGAGTAGTTCTTCCACTGTGTTACCTATTGATGTTTTGTCTTCTTCATTGAGCAGCTGGTGTACTAATCTTTTTGTTTTATTTTTAAAAAATTTTAAGCATTCTTAGTATCTCTTGCTTAATAATCTATTATCAGGACTCCCAAATGTGGCTTTTCAAGAGACAACTGGACTTTTTGGTTTTTCTTTGAAGACATTTCACTTCTCATCCAAGAAGCTTCTTCATCCTTCCATTCCCCACCATCCAGCCAGAGCTGAAGAAGCTTATTGGATGAGAAGCAAAATGTCTTCAAAGAAAAACCATAAAGTGCAGTTGCCTCTTGAAAGACCTCCTTTGGGACAACCATGACCTGGATGACTGAGAATCTTCATAGATATCATCAGAACAATTATCACTGCTTGCGAGCTGCTAATATGCCTTTTGAAAAGCTCTAAAAATCAAACGGAGAATTTGTGTTCTGCTTTGTTTTTTATGGATAAGTAAAAGAAGAATAAAGTACTGAATATTTGAGGGTCTGCCTATCCCTGATTACATCTAACCATTTCATAAGATCTGGCAGGAGATGCATGTTATAGGTCCCCTCTACTAAGAAATGTCATCTAATGGGACCCAGGAAGAAAGCTTTTTCTGCCATGGTGCCTACACTTTGCAACATCACTCATCTGGAATTTAGATTGGCCCCAGACCTTCTGGCCTGTAGGAAGGGCCTGAAGATTTGGCTTTGTCATCTTGCCTGGGCATCTGGTAAAGGTGGTCTGGAGCCTTCTAAATAGCTATATAATTAGTAAATTGGATTGTGACTTTTCAGATCATGTTTTTTTTAAAAAAATTATAATTGTAATTGTAATAGTTTTGGTTGTTTTTAATATGTTTTAGTGGTTTTTGT